AAAAGATTTGGCAAAGCCCATCATGATCAGGTCTGTTTGAGTGTTTTTGTCTGAAGCATGATCTTGTACAGAAGACAGTGTTTGAACAGTATCTAGCGTGTCTGAAGCTGTGCTTGAGATCATACAAGATACGAGATACAAGATATTTTATAGTGCCAATCACGGCGCCCATTACTGAGCAGAATAACCATCGAAATTTCAAAACACAGTATACAATACAATATAATATAATATTTGAACTAAACAAAATAACAAAATAATTGGTTATTAATGATTAGTATGATTGTTATAAAATAAGGTTTAATACAAATTGAATGTAGAAAAAAATCTAATAATGTAATGATAAAATTGACAAAATTTTGCAAGTAACACACTGCAACCTAGACCAAATTAGTCATGAAACCATGTGTTCTGAATACTATTATTATTATTATTATTATTATTATTGAATATCATTAAGCAGTTCTTGTTCTGTTTTTTTTTTTATTATTAATATCATTATTATTATTTTTTTTTTTTTTATAAACATTATCAATCAGTTCTTGTTTTGTTTTAAATAGTTCTGTAAGCAGCTGCTGAAGGATCTCAATGACATACCTATCCTCATTCATCAGTAACCAGATGAATTTGTTTTCATCATTCATAGTATTAAAATTTTTATATTTGGATTTTATTTTATTTAAGTAATGGTAACGTTTCCCATCATAAGATGGACATTTTAAAAGGAAGTGTAATTCATCCTCAGCAGCATTGTTACGTAACTTACAAATACGTTTGTTTGCCTCTACTCCATAGTATCTACCTGTTTCAATTTCCAATGAATGGTCACTTATCCGAAATGTAGACAATGACTGTTTTTGTTCCCTATTTCCAATCATCAGATAAGGTTCAAATTCAAAATTAAATTAAAATTTTCTATTAGGTTGTCAATTTTTTATTACAGTTTGATTTTTTCTTTCATCATTAAATAAGTTAAGTTTCCATATTTTTAAGAATTTAGAGATAAGGTTTTGTTTAACTTTCCTGACAATATGATAAATTGTTTTTTCTAGATGGTTCATTACGTTTTTGTAATGATATGTTCCATTAAATTATAACTGTTGTGGGAAAAATTTGGTTGATCATATAGGGAATCACTGAAGCATGACTGGAGCCCCCCCCCCCTCCCTTTTAGGTCAGTCAGTGGGCCCCCTTACAAAAAGTTCTGGATCCGCCACTGTTATGTAAAGGTTTATTTATTCCATATGTAGTAATTCTGAATTTTTTCTTTATATACGGAGATATATTACCATAGTTTTCGACTCGGTTATGAAAACTTATTTTCGATGTGACTACATCCATATGTCAATATGACTGAAGAGGATCATATATTATCATGTAGTGACAATATTACTAAAGGAGGGACGAAAGATCATACCAGAGGGACAGTCAAACTCATAGATCGAAAACAAACTGACAACGCCATGGCCAAAAATAAAAAGACAAACAGACAAATAATAGAACAGATGACACAACATAGAAAACTAAAGACTAAGCAACACGAACCCCACCAAAAACTGGGGGTGTTCTCAGGTACTCCGGAAGGGTAAGCAGATCCTGAAATAGAGGACTGCTAAACAATTGTGCTTCTCCCTGCATTATGAAAGAACATTGATTATAAACTCAGAGACATCAAGGGTGTACATAATTTCTTAGGCCCAGATTTTAGATTTGTTTGATTTTTATGAGGGTGGTAAAGGGTTATTTTCGTGCAACGTGTTTTGCCATTTTTATTTCACGTGCAGCCGTGAAAAAGGTTCGTTATTCACCGTGTTTCGTGAAATCGGTAACAAGATCAACGTGCAAGAAATTTGTAATTGTTCGTTCATCGTGAAATGGTGAAATCTATTTGGAGCAAAATAGTCTTGCAAGGAAAACATCATTACATAGGAAGCTGGTATAGACCACCTGATGCCCCTTTGGACCAAATACAACTACTAAAGGACCAATTGGATAAAATCAAGAAATTAGGAAAAGCAAACAAACAACCATGCATTCACGTCTTGGGTGATTTTAATTACCGTAACATAAACTGGCAGACAAAGCTAAATAAAGATACCAACACATGTCTAAACGGTAGTGACGGCCAAGCGTTAATAGATATTCTAAATGAGGCTAGTGCTGAACAACTCATCCTGTTTCCAACCAGGGAAAGTAATACACTAGACCTTATAATTACAACATTACCAGGGCAGTTCACAGATATCCACTCACCTGATCGGTTACGCGACCACGACATTGTCATGGGTACTCTGCGATGCACAATTCCAAGAAGAACGAGACCAGAAAGGACCTTCTTCCAATATTCAAAGGGAAACTACAATCAAATGAGAGATGACTGAAGGGACTTCACCAGAGACAGATACTTCAATGGCCATCAAAACAACAGGAATGTAGAAGAAAACTGGAACATGATAAAAGAATTTATACTAGGAACCACCAAAATAAATGTACCAACTAAAACATCAAAAGGAAAACAGTCAATACCATGGATAAATAATAATATCAAGGCCATGATCAAACGAAAAAACAGAACACACGCTAACTATAAAAGAAACAACAGCATGAGAATAAAACGAAAATGGCAAGAATTAAGGACGCACAATTAACAATGAAATTGAAACAGCCCACAACAACTACGTCAACAACTTAATAGGCGATATAAAACAAGATTCTAAACCATTTTGGAAATATATAAACAACCAGAAGGCAGACAAACAGGGAATAACACCACTTAAGACTCATGATAATAAGACCGCCGATTCAGACCAACAGAAAGCAGAGGCATTGAATACGCAGTTTACAAGCGTTTATACCGAGACAGTATATGAATCTATTCCATACCAAACTCTTCATGTAGACAAAATGAGAAACATCATAGTAACAACCAAAGGAGTGGAGAAGATACTAAAAAATGTAAATGCATCAAAAGCGATGGGCCCTGATGGTATACATCCCAGAGTACTTAAAGAATTGGCACCTAACATATCAGAGGTAATGGCTCACTTTTTCCAACAATCCATCAACAGAGGAACCATCCCAGATGAACGGAAAAGTGCTAACATATGCCCATTATTCAAGAAGAACGACAGAACCATCCCAAGTAATTCAGACCAGTATCCCTAACATGTATCACTTGCAAACTACTAGAACATGTCATTTGCTCGAACCTAATGCAGCACTTTGAAGATCACAACATCCTAAATAGCCGACAACATGCATTTAGAAGAAGACACAGCTGTGAAACCCAACTTATTAACGTAATACATGACTGGGCAACTGCCATTGACAACAGGAAACAAACGGATATATTTATTTTGGATTTTGAAAAAGCATTTGACACCGTATCGCACGAACTATTAAAAAGTAAACTTCACAAATATGGCGTGCCGAAAAACACCTTGAATTGGATTAACGCATTTCTATCTACAAGATCTCAGTGTGTGATAGTGAATGGGACTAAGTCCAAAACATCGACAGTCCTATCAGGTGTACCTCAAGGAACGGTTCTTGGTCCCATCCTATTTCTGGTCCATATCAATGACATAGCAGAAAATGTAACATCAGAAATAAGGCTGTTCGCAGACGACTGTGTATGCTACAGAGGAATTAATAATGAAGATGACTGTGCAGAACTACAGAAAGATATAGATACCCTTGGTAACTGGGCGACTAATTGGGGTATGAGATTTCAACCAATTAAATGCAACATGATGACATTGAGTCGCAAGAAGAAAATTACATCATTTAAATACACTCTCAAAAATACGGAACTCCAATTTTTAACATCTATTATATATCTAGGAGTAAACATCACAAATGATCTACACTGGGGAAAGCACATAGAGGAGATATGCAATAAATCTTATAGGACATTAGGCTTACTAAAAAGAAACCTATCAGCATGTCCACTTGAAGTTAAACTCCAGGCATATAAAGGACTGATACGACCTGTCCTAGAATATGCAAGCACTGCCTGGGACCCACATCAACTATATCTCCAAGACCAACTGGAAAATGTACAGAAAAGAGCGGCTAGGTTTATAACATCAAACTACAACTACGAACCAGGAAGTATGACAGCAATTTTAGACCAACTGCAATTACCATCACTAAAAGACCGCCGTACACAAAACAGACTGATTCTTTTCTGCAAAAGTATACACGGTCAAGCAAACTTACCTTCTGACCAACTGAAAAAACCATCAAGGACAACCAAGAACATGCACAGCCAACATTTCCTTAGACTTCAAACAAAAACAGACACATTAAAATACAGTTTCATTCCAAATACCATTAAAGACTGGAACCAACTACCACCGGATATCTTCATCATAATTCAGACAGCAGAAGAACCAGCTAAAACCTTTAATGAAATTGTAAGGGGGCCCCACTTAAGTAAATTACTTGACGCACGCGCGGTGTATTAATATCCTTGGATGTATCACCGTATTCCTATCAAGATCAAGATCAAATGGCAATTTTATTTCGCGTTCTTCCGCGCGCGTGCAGATACCCCCCTTTACGCCCTCTTTTAAGTACATATTTAGCTATAAACGTATTTACACTTTTGGTATTTAGCTATATTTTGCCTTCGAATGACCTTAGATCTACTCCGAATCACCTTTTGACGTCAGACAACAATCATTTTTTAATTGTGACGTCAAATGTTTTGAATTATGATGTCAAAGTTTACGGGAACCTGTGTGATTTTACGTAATGGCGGACAAATTTGCATACAAGTGTAAATACGTCTATTGATAAGATTACCCCGAACTGTGACTATGCATTGTCCTCGTGAACATTTACCTACTTTTGGGTGCACCAATATAGTGTTGGATACTACTAACTAAGGAAGGCGCTTTTTAAAAGTCAATACATAATGGCTTGTCATTTCTTTCGGAGTTTCCTAAATATATGACATATATCAGATCTGATACTTGAAAAGAATGTGCGTTTTCCGGAATAAATCCGTTTTTTGTTAATATTACAATACCTACAGTATTTCCGGTAAGTAAAAACCAAATAAGAAAGTTTTTTCTGTTTTTATGGCCTTTAAAAGACTTGAGAGTATCTAATGCTTTCCACATTTATTAGTATCGTTCCCATGGTTCTTGTCTTCTAGTCTCAAATTTTTAAATTGGTTGCTTATTCTCAATTTGTATAAAATCTACGTGTTAGAGTCTTTGATTGATACATACATCAAGGATTTGTATAATATTACTATACAAATCCTTGATCTAAAGTCGGATTGCATATATACATAATAACAAGGAACATGAGCTCCTAAAAGCTCTTTAACCGACTGATATTAAATAACAAAACATACATGTAATTACATCAGATACATAATACAACACAAACATACAGACAGCACATACATGTATACACCTTATCGCTATTTGTCCGCCATTACTGGCCATCACACAGGTTCCCGTAAAATTTTGACGTCACAATACAAAATATCTGACGCCACAATAGAAAAGTGATTGTTGTATGACAACAAAAGTTCAAGCGGGACGGATTCTCGGGTCAGCCGGGAATAGCGATAAGGTGTATTAATACATAGATAGCACATGCAAAATAAAAGTTAAGCAAGATATGTATGAAAACAAATGTCAAATATCAGCACATAAGAGCACACATTATCTGGATCCAAGTAGCACATGCAAAATTAAACACTATAATTATAAAGCACAAGCAAAAGACTACAAGCAGCTGCACCACGGTAATACATAAGCAAAACAAAGAAATAATAAAAACAAAAAAATGCAAAAAATAAAAATAAAAAACAAACAGCAGACATCAAAGTTAAGTCATGGGGCAGCAAGGAGTTTAATTATTAACAAGAACTGCAGTGATCATGTATGATGTATGTTTCATCTGTTCATATTGAAATGAATAAAGTTATTTAACGTAGGTGTTAAGTCTTCCTCTGTCATCTCAGACTTATCTTAATATTTTCCATGCTTCCAATAAGTGTTCATGTAGACATATTTTCAAATACACCTTATCTTCAATCTTTGTCTTGATGACAGTGTAATCTCTCATGTAAATTATCTTCTCTTGTAAAATGATAATCACAAATGTAGTTTCTTATTGTACTTAAATATTGAAGATGGGGCTTTAAAAAAAATTAAATTAAAGAAAAAATTTACTAAAAATAAAAAAAAATAATTTATAAGTATTTGTAAATAATAAAAAAATATGAAAAAGATTGCCCATTAAATTATCCACTAAAATGGTTCGTTTCCTCTAAGTACTCAGCTAATACTTGAATATTTTCTGCATTTGGTAGATCGATTGTTAGTAAATTGTCTAAATTTGTTGGAATTTGACCGGTTATGAAGTAAATTTGATGAAATATTTTGTCTCTGGCATCTGATAATAGATCACACTCAAAGAGGTAGTGTTGTACATCTTCTTTTTGTTTGAAGGTTTCACAAATTTCAGAGGTGATGTTTATTATAAACGTATGCATTTAGTTTGGAATAACCTGTTCTTAATCTGTTGATTAAGTTGAACATTTTTTTATGGGAAGCCTTTTTTTACTTTATTTTTAACTTCAGGGTGAAATCTAAAATAATGACGTCCTGAATTGCTGTTTTCCCACCTACGTTGCCATTTTTTTGAATTTATATGAACTAAGATCAAGGTTGGGCAGAAAATATTGATAAATCTAATGATCTGATATCTACAAATTTGCAGAAGATAGTATGCTTAACAATAAAGCAGCTTCCTGCCAATATATAAAGCAAATTGAAAAATGAATACCAATATGAATATGAAAGTTTTATTTTGATTCAGTTAACATATATAATAATACAAACATAAAAATTATGCTCTTAAGAGCTTTTTACCAAACATAAATAACATATACATAAAACAGAAAGCATGCAGATTAAGGATTTAAACAGCATATATTAAAATGTGTGGATACAGCACAGGCAAATAGTGGCCTCCTGTCTGTTTGAGATGAGCTGGCGAGTTAATTACACTCAATTGCAGAGGCTGTCTCTTAACCGTGAATAATAAGAAGAAAAAATACATATAAAGCACTACTAAAATATTTAAGCATGACTAAACATGGTAAAACTGAAGCACAACTAAGCCAAAGTTATTTTAAAGCACAGCTTTGAATTAAGCTGGATTCGTTACTTCAAAGCACAAACGAAGATTTAAAAGTATACTGCAAAATAAATCATAAAGATTAAATGAACAGTGCTTATAACTGATATAATAAATAAATAAAAAAATAATAACATTAAAAGCTGATCTACATTCTGATCCATCCTTGGTAGGATTGTATAAGGCACTTGAATTGTGAAAAAAAACTATTTTCAGTCCTGAAATGGTTGTAGGCTGTTCCATAGAGAAGCATTTGAAAATCTCATTTTTCTTACGAAACTGTGTGAATTTTACTTGGGGAATATCAACATGATCAAGGATATTATTATATCTGAAAGAATCTCTAGAACTTTTTACATTTAATGGATCATGTAAACAGAAAGGTGCTAATTTAACTGTATTTAAAAGTTTCAAATGCTATTGATATCTGTCTTTTAATATGCACAGAAGGCATCTTAGTCTTTTTCAAGCAACTGCTATACTGTTGCTACATAGAAATGGAAAGTTCACAATTGGGAAGCTGAAATCATCTCTTTTGTCATACAATTTTGTTCTCAACTGACCCTCATTGTCAATTTCTATATGTAAATCAAAATATGAGGCAAATACAAATATAGATCTTTATTTTTTGTATCCTTTATGTCAATTTCAATGGGATAGATGTGTTCAACATAGTCACCAAACTTTGAATTATTTCGGGAGAGGAAATCATCTCTGATGGGGAACTTGAAGATAAGGATAATGCTAGCTTTTTTTCATTCTTCCTAAGATTAGGTCCTGTATGAAGTCTGTCTCATGTGAATAAAGTAACAAGTAGGAGCACAGTTGGTTCCCATGGGAATATGGATTATTTGTTGAAAAACACTCCCTCCAATCACAAGAAATATGTTGTCAATCAAGAAATCAAGCATCTTGATATTGTCAGTTCAGATTTTTTTTCAGGGAAACATTTATATTTTTATCGTGTGTATATATACCATTGTTTATATATTTGATGGATGTAAAATAAAAATGTTATATTTTGTAGATGTCTTGACAAATGGATGAAGAATTTGCGGACAGAATTACAAACCTTTGTTATCAAAGATATAAACAACTACCCAAAAAAGGGAAGGGACAACCTGGAAAGGAATGGACAGTTTTAGCAGGAATAGTTATAACCACAAAGAGTACATTCTTTCATTTTAATTTAAGATAGATATTTTATCCCAATTTCTGTTAAATTCAAGTTGACCACCCTAAGTATCTTCACCAATGTATCTATTTCATGTGTACATATATGTTATATACATGTTAATGTGTCTTGCCAGCATATTTCATGTGTACATATATGTTATATACCTGTCAATGTGTCTTGCCAGCATATTTCATGTTTACATATATGTTATATACCTGTCAATGTGTCTTGCCGTAATATTTCATGTGTACATATATGTTATATACCTGTCAATGTGTCTTGCCAACACAACTCCTTCCAAATGGCTTGAAGAACATTGATGAAGCTTTAAACAACTGTAAAACACTACCTGGTGCATACAAGACGAAGTACATGAATATAACTAAGGTTATACATGTTAAATGGGAGATAATCGATTTACTTACTTCAATATTGCAATATGTAATAATAGTAAGTCTCTTGTAAATGCAACTCCTGCTAAACAACTAGATGGAAACTGATCAAACTTTACATGAGGATATGGTTAAAACAATTTAATATAGGTCCCATCTGTTAAAGGAAGATAAGCAAATTTAACTACTTCATTATTGTAAAATTGGTTATAATCTAACTTAAGACATGTAAGACAGGGGTATCTTTTTTGTGAGTTCACTCACAGTTTTAGTTTAATTGCTGCAGATCAGCTTCTAAGCAAAAATGTATGTCATTCTAACATTAATAAATGGCCTTAGATTTTATATGACATTCTTGGTCATGTTTATAATGAGAAGTAAAGGTATACATAAATCAGACAGAAACCCATGACACAGAAAAACAGAACATTTAGAGTGCAAAATATAGTTTTCAAAAATAGACTGTCAAAAGTTTGCCTTCAACAACAAATATCCAACAAGTCAAAGACATTAAGAAATAACAAAAGGCAACCAATGATTTACTGACTTTAAACAGTTACACAACATTTGGTGACGTGTTACTTCTTTCTCTAGATCTCTTATCCAACAGATGACTTATTACAGACTCTCATTTCTTCTTCTTTTATCCTGACCTCTATTAAAAGCAATGCAGGCATATATACATAAAAACATGTATTTATCTTGTTTTTGGATCTATTTCATATTTTGTACATGTACATTTTCATTGTCTTTAACAGGTGATTTTTCTGATCCAGAAGTCATTGCAGTAGGAACTGGAACTAAATGTTTGGGGAAGTCTCAACTTAGTCATTCTGGTAAGGTAAACACTGAATCCTATTGTAAGACGTTTAAGAAATGTTTGTTCAGAGAACTAATATGGAAGGAGAAACAGTATCCTATCATTTTAAGTTAGTAATAAAAATATTGTTAAATTATAAACAGATAAGAAATATGTTGTCATAGCTTCAATGTTCCTCTTCACTGAGCCAATGGTAAAATGTTATTTAAATTTTACAGAAAAATGGTACACACCTTTTACATGTCATTTATGCATCTATAAAATAAACAGTCATACTAAGACTTAAGGATGGACAAGTATTTAAGCAGATTGATAAAATTTTAAGTTTCTTAAAAACTAGTCAATTGGAATTTGAAAATAATGTTTGTATTTATTGATTGGGTGATATTGTAAAAGTGTTTATATTTATTGATCAGGTGATATTGTAAAAGTGTTTATATTTATTGATCGAGTGACATTGTAATAGTGTTTATATTTATTGATCAGGTGATATTGTAAAAGTGTTTATATTTATTGATCGGGTGATATTGTAAAAGTGTTTATATTTATTGATCGGGTGATATTGTAAAAGTGTTTATATTTATTGATCAGGTGACATTGTGAATGACAGTCATGGAGAGGTTTTGGCTAGAAGAGGTTTTATATTGTAAGTATTTGCATGTACAATAAGAAGGATAATAAAGGTATAGACAATGACAAAAAGACGAATTCAGTTAGAATGAACAAATGTGAAGAATTGGCTTCAAATTATAATTGAATCATTTATTAAGAATTGAATGCTTCTTTTTGTAACTTCATTGGGGTGTAAAAGCGTTGACCGAAGTACATTTTGTATTTTATAAAAATGTACGAACGGTCAACACTTTTACAACCCTATGAAGTTACTAAAAGAAGCATTCAATACTTATAATTACATTTTTTAGCTATTATCATGAAAATACGATTACTATCAAGTTTTTTCTTTTATTTACCCGTGCACTTTATTGTAGAAGCACATGTCATCATGAATGTTACAATTCATTTTGAAATGAAGTTGATTAAGGAATAACGCGAGATTGCAGTTAGCCAATCAGAATAACGTATTATAATGAAACATACATCTATATGTAATTATTGACATATAAAACTACTTTAAACCAAACCAACATCAGAAAATCGTTCTCAGATTTTTAAAAGATTCCATGATATAAAACAGTGCATTCACTTCGTTACATCTATGTACTGTAAATTTGTGATATTTATTTGGTAAATTGTGATAAGAGAGGTGTCATAAAAATAAAAACATGCATTTCACAATTTAATAGCATAATTTGTTTACAGTATTTCCTGAAATTTTAATAATTTAAAATCTCACATTTTTGTCTCGCCTGCAATGACAGTCGCGGAAAGCGAGACATAGGGATTGCTTTTCCGGTGACGACAATGACGGTGACGGGCGACAGCGTCAACAATTGTTAAGTTTTCTGCTTAAGTTAGCTTTATAGGAACTACTTGTAATAGATCATTGATATTTAATATAAAGTTGCATTACTATCAGTTCATATCAGTTTGATGACTATTTTGAGGCCCTGCCCCCTAGGACATGGTCCAGTGACTGAATTAATAAGCAATTTTCAATGTTAAGTTTTCTGCTTAAGTTAGTTTGATAAGATCTACTTGTGATAGATCAATGATATTTTGTATGAAGTCGCTTTACTATCAATACATATCAGTTTGACAACTATTTTGAGGCTCTGTCCCCTAGGACATGGTCCAGTGACTGAATTAATTATTTTCAATGTTAAGTATTCTGCTTTAGTTAGTTTGATATGATCTACTTGTGATAGATCAATGATATTTTGTATGAAGTTGCATCATATCAGTTCATATCAGTTTGACTACTATTTTAAGGCCCTGCCCCTTTGTCATGGTCCATTGACTTTGAATTAATTAGCAATTTTCAATGTTAAGTTTTTCTGCTTAAGTTAAATTGATAGGAACTACTTACAATAAACAACGATATTTTTATAAAGTTGCTTTACTGTCTACATCTCAGTTTGTTGACCATTTTCAGGCCCTGCCCACTAGATCATGGTCCAGTGACTGAATTAATGAGCAATGTTGCTGTTCATTTGATTGTCTTTTTCTGAATTTTATGCCAATAGGCAAGACATATCTCTGTGTCAACAGTTTATTTTCCAATGTTCAACAATTTCAATGATAAATGCAAAAAGTTCTGATTTGCATGATGCCTCTTTTTGGTTTTTGTAGCTAATTGACCTTCATTTAAAACAGTTTGATTTTTTATTCAGATATTTATACCAACAGCTAATGATGGTGTATAAAGGGGAGACAAGTCATATTTTCACTTCACCTGATACTCAGACATTGAGATGTCATTTAAAGGAGAATGTACAGTTTCATTTCTTCTGTAGTCACACACCTTGTAAGTAATATCAGGTCTCTATCAAAATCTCACGTATCATTAAAGAAAAGTTTTACAATTTTCTGTTTTGGTAATTAATGAAAATGTTAGGATAGACCATTGATATGTGATGGAATATTGCAATAGTTTCAAGAATCTCAATTGCAGATAGGACAAAAGCATTAAAATAGGTTCAGCTCCTTAGTCATGGTTCAATGACATTTGAAATTTAACATTGTTCATATGTTAAACATTTCTGATTGGATGTGCTTGTGAAGAATAACTTATGAAAGACCTTTCATACTAACAAGGCTGCTATTATTAGCATTTGAATGTCTCATTCTTAAGTAATTCCTTTTCTTTACCATGCAATGTAGACTAAGACATATTTTATGTTTTTGTGCCCTGATTAGAGCAGCTTAATCATTTGAAGCTAAATAAACAAGTTCTTAAAACAAGTTGTTGTATTCTTATTTGCCAAGCTCTCACAAATATAAATTATTAAATAAATAAAACAATTTTGCCTACAAGTGTAGCAGCCTTTAATAGATTTATTTCAACAAGATATATTCTTTAAACTTATGTCAATTCACAAAATTCTGGAATGCACTACCATTCCAGGCATATAAATGGTTTACTTTTATAAATATTTACTTGGATGGAGAGTTGTCTCATTGGCACTCATACCACATCTTCTTATATCTATATAAAGTATATACACAATCAAATCTATCTACTAAAGAGGACAAATTCTTATTATCATATATCAGCTCATTTCAATGAGTGGTGTTGTAGGATACATTGAGAAATATGTAAAACATATAGTTCTTTTGATTTGTCAGATGAATTTACAAAAATATATTTTAAGGAGGTCAGCTGAATTAAATTTTATATCAAATAAAAACATAGGGAGACTTGATACAGCATAAGAGGAAGCATGTCTTTTACTAATCATCATCTTAGAAAGAAAAGGAAAGTTCATCAAGGCTGTATGCAAATCTAGCATGAAAATTTGAGTAAATTATTCTTCTTTTTACTACATATTCTCATTCATTTCATGTTTGAACAACATGTTGATGAATCAAATTATATTGTGTAATATTTGATTAATCTTTAGGTGGCGATGCCTCTATCTTCCCCATAAGAAATGAAGAGAAGGAATTAAATAAAAGGCCCGATTCTCTAGACAATAAAGACATGTTTGGTCAAGATTCTAAAAGTAGTAAGATATGCTGCAAAGACAGACATTGTCCAAGGAAGATACATATAAGGCAACAGGATTTAAGTGAACAGAAAGGTCATAACCTTAGATCAGATGATGAAACAAAGAATTTTATTGGATTAGAGTCATCTAAGACATGCACTTTTAGATCTCAGAACCAATTTTTACAAGATGAATGTAAAAATAGAGTAAAATCTTCACCTATAACTGAGATTAATTTAATTGATGAAAAATGTTTTAAAAGAATACATGACGAGGAGGAACATTTAGCATGTAAACGACGAAAACTGCCAGATAAAACAACACCAAATGATGAAGATGTTAATCAAACAAATAGAATCAATGCAAACTGTGATTGTGCAGGGAACAAGGACATCAGAGAAGGGGATCAGTATAATGATATTAATAGAACAGGAGCTAAATGTGTTGGTACAGGGGAGCAGGACATGAGAGGAGATGGAGACCAGTATCACACATTAGGAGTGTTCCGTATCAAACCAGGCCGTGGTGAGCGTACATTATCCATGTCCTGTAGTGATAAGTTATCTAGATGGAATGTTGTTGGTTGTCAAGGGGCACTACTCAGTCATTTTATACAGACTCCAATATATTTCTCCAGTTTTACAATTGGTAGGTAAGTTCTTTCAGGATTGTGATTGTGGTGAATTATGACAACCTAAAAATGCTAGCTTTGTTCAAAATTTTAATGTGGAAAATGTTTGTAGAAAGACAATATCATGTATGATCGTACTGCAAAAAATGTAAATGTAAAGAAAAATATTATTACCAATTGACCATATAATGTGTATATATATACATAGGTGGATATCAATTACTGAATTTCGTGATTTTAATAAACCTCAAATAAAGTAATCTTATGACAAATTTTCATTTCATTATTTATATCTATTTATTGAATTTCTTTCTTGTAAATTATACTTATCAGCCCAGTATTGATTTAATTGTGTTATATATTTTATAGATGTTTATATAATAAGTCAGCTTTATACAGAGCAATGGTAACCAGATCAGATGAAGTGACTGGTTTACCAGATGGTTATAGAGTTAACTCCCCTGAGCTGCTGCAATCACAACTACAATTTGAAGATTCTAAAGATTTGGTACCTAATGGCAACCCATCTTCAGCAGGTATTAATTTAAGAACAGGTCTTTAAACTAAAGGTGAAAGTACTTATAAATTTTTGTGCTGAAACTGTTATAAGGAATAAAGTTAAATAATGTCAGTTTTTAGTCCATCATAAAAGATATTACAGCAATAAAGCTTTCTTCAGAGCCAGTCCTATTTTTTTTTACATAGAAGATAATCCCTCTTCTTCACAGTATTTTATATGGTGGCATGACTGTGCTACCATACTTTAATTGGACCTTATACAATAGTGTGACAGGTTTGGAGGTTCTTAAAGCCATTGGATGGATTTAATTGAAACTGCATTTTATGAAGATAACTTAGGAGCTATTCAGGAAAACTAGCCAATGGGTGGTAGTTAAACTTCCCACTAAGATAAAACTTCTTTTGACAAATATGTAGATGGAAAACAAATGTAAGGGGAGGTAACTGTCCTCACATTGTAAATGTGGTGATCCAGTGTTATTATTTTGTTAGATGTTCACAGTACCTCTTATTCTCCTTTGCTTACAAAGATATATTTCATATGATGACAACAGCTTGGATGATGTACTTTGATCCTCAGTATGGGATTCTTATTGTCGGGAACACTTTTTTTATTAGGGCCCCACGGAATGCCCTATAGTGATCAGTCCATCCATCAATCCGTCTGTAAAAAATTGTGTCCGCTCTATATATATAGAGAAATGTTATAATTTCATACTTTATACTTGACATGTATATTAACCAACACCAGAGGGTGTGTCATAGTGTTTGTACAACTTCCTAGGTCAAAGGGCAAGGTAAAAAACTTTGGTTTCAGTTGACAACCCCATGTCTTATGGTAAAGATCGTGTACGCTCTATATCTTGAGAACCCTTATGATTTCAAAGTTTAAACTTGACATGTATATTATCCAACACCAGAGGGTGTGTCATAATGTATGTACAACTTCCTAGGTCAAAGGTCAAGGTCAAAAACTTTGGTTTCATTTGACAACCCCATGTCCTATGGTAAAGATCGTGTCCACTCTATATCTTGAGAACCGTTATGATTTCAAAGTTTATACTTGACATGTATATTAACCAACACCAGAGGGTGTGTCATAATGTATGTACAACTTCCTAGGTCAAAGGTCAAGGTCAAAAATTTTGGTTTCAGTTGACAACCCCATATCCTATGGTAAAGATCGTGTCCGCTCTATATCTTGAGAACCATTATGATTTCAAAGTTTATACTTGACATGTATATTAACCAACAACAGAGGGTGTTTCATAATGTATGTACAACTTCCTAGGTCAAAGGTCAAGGTCAAAAACTTTGGTTTCAGTTGACAACCTCATGTCCTATGGTAAAGATAAAAAAAAATTTACCCCACGTTATTCACAGCGTGGACAACAGAGATGGCTCCCATCTCAATGATGTCTAGTTAACATGGAACTAAACAAAGATAGACATACATGTATTGTATTTGCTTTATTTAGATTTAATTCATTTTTATTGATTTCAAATCTTTTAACCCTATTTTTCAAAGCCTTTTTTATGCTGAATGTAATATTAAAATATTATCTGAACCACAGTCCAGTCTATACTTTAATGTTATCGTGACAGCCTCCAGCTATGGTGGCACGTTGAGATCACTTCTGTCTTTGTCTGTGTCAACCTCTATGTCACACCTTGTTAATCTACAACTCCTGGAAAGTGGCTTGTCAAACTTTCATAGATTCATCTACAGGACATAAGTTTAAAGTTATGCACATGTTTTTCTTATTTTTTATCTGTATGATTTTTGGTTTCCATACCAAACCCTGTTAACAGCAAGGCAGAATTCAACCAAACCCTGTTAACAGCAAGGCAGAATTCAACCAAACCCTGTTAACAGCAAGGCAGAATTCAACCAAACCCTGTTAACAGCAAGGCAGAATTCAACCAAACCCTGTTAACAGCAAGGCAGAATTCAACCAAACCCTGTTAACAGCAAGGCAGAATTCAACCAAACCGATTTTTCTACGACATTAAGTTGTGCATTTGCTATTTTGATTCTTTATCTGTTTGACTTTTGGGGTTTCATGTACAATAACAAGGACTTTTTTCTACTTAAAAGATTTGGAGAAGGCAGTTAATCCCACTCTGCCTCGGAAGATTCTCTGATAATATTTTGTTCTATATTACAGCTGTTGTATGGCATGAACCAGACATAACTGACTGTTTAGTGAATGGTAAAAGACAAGGATTTACAAAGAAAAACTGGAGTAGTCCTAAATCTAGGTAACTTTTTATATCAATATGAATAAATGAGGATGTCGAAAATACACATCATTCATATTATGACATAGAAACCAAAAGCATTCAAGGATCAATATAAGGTCTTCAACAATAGACAAGTGTATATTATATGTCAGGTTTTAAATCACTCCAATATAAAATAAGAAGTATGATTGCCAATGTAGTTAATAAATGTAACAGAGGCTATAAAAAATCTTCTACTATCAATACTTAATTCTGTAAAAGACAATAAAATAAAGAATTCAAGATGTAACAAAATACAGACACTCATGAGGTTCCTACCTTGAAACAGGCATCAATACATATAGCAGGACTGAACTGATTCTTTTTAAATCTAAAAATTATTTGACAAATTATATTGATTTCAGAAGTTCATATCATGCTTTTGTGTAGACAAAATTAATCTTTTGTAATTTATATAATTTCAGGTCTATAATCAGTAGCTTTGCATTGTTTGAACGATTTTGGGAACTGGTAGATTTAATACCTGACGAGAAGAGACCACAATCCTTAAGGTAATTGTAAACAATACATCATTGGTTGTTTGGAAGAAAGAGAACATACCAAGTAAGCAATGAATAACCATTAGTCAAATAAAAAAAAAATTTAAAAAATGTGGTAAAAAAAAACCACTAAAGAGACAAACTACTATTACAAAACACTGCACAGAATAACTAATTATTGAGCAACATGAACCCCACTAAAAACCAATGGGGGGGATGGAACTCTGGGACTCTTAAAGGGTCAGCAGTTCCTGCTCCACTATTGGTACCTGTTATATTACTCATAGGAAGTAAACATTTGGTGACAAGCTGAATTTGGTAATGAAACAATCAAGAAAATGAGAATGGAATTTTAGCTAGGACAAGCCGTACATATCCATGGTCATTCACTGTATATGCAACAAATATTCAAGAAGTCAACTATATAAATGGTGTCCATAAAACTTTCTGAGGGAGGACTTCAACTTTACTTTTGTTCAATAGGTCCTGTAAGCAGCAACCCTCTATCAAGTAATTAATGGTACAAAATACAAGCCTTGGAATATTGTCTTAACATACTCCACATATATTTGACTTGTCAAAACATATATCTACCTCCAAGGTGTTTCAAGTTTAGCTGTATTTCATTGAATAGCAAGAAATTACTAACCATACTATCGATATTCATTTACACATCATATTGTAAAATTTTGGCAACATTTTGGTAGTACCCATCTCATTAGGCCCTCTGGCCTTAGTCTATCTTATAAGGTCCTCTAGCCTCAGTCTATCTTGTTAGGTCATCTATCCTCAGTCTATCTTATTAGGTCCTCTAGCTTAAATCTATCTTATTGGTCCTCTAGCCCAAGTCTATCTTTAGCATTATTTGAATTAGTGCAAAATGGGTTACATTATATTATCTTTATTGTAGGTCTGTGATAGAAAATAAAAGCACTTATTTGGAATGTAAAATGGCATCAGTTACCTATCAGTCTGCATGGAGTATACTGCTGAAGACCTATGGGACGTGGGAACACAAGGACAAACAATTACTCATGTTTAATATTGTAAATGATTAAATCTATTTATATGAATAGTGTTTGAATATTTGGGTTTTGATGGGAAGGACAATAAAATCAAGGTTGTTGTGTTAATCAGTCCCTTTAGTTTTTCTCATTTTAATTGTTTTACGTTTGTCATTTCAGGGTCTTTTATAGCTTGTTAATCAGTCCCTTTAGTTTTTCTCATTTTAATTGTTTTACGTTTGTCATTTCAGGGCCTTTTATAGCTTGCTAAGCTGTAATGGTTTTGCTCATTGTTGAAGGCTGTACTGTGACCTATAGTTGCTTACATCTATGTTATTTGGTCTCTGACGAATAGTTACATCATTGGCAATCATACCACATCTTATTTTATAGAAGTTATTTATGTTGTTAACCCCTGTCAAACAAACACATACATCTTATAGAGTACAGAATGCCAGTTCTTATTGTTGGGATACTCAAGTACCCAGTCGCTTTATTCGCATTTAAAAAAAAATCAATAATTAACAGTACTTGACTTGACCAATGTTTGAGCCATTGTCTGACAACAGTAGTATGTTTTCCTGACCAGCCTATATGTGGAGCAGGATATGCTTACCCTTCCGGAGCACCTGAGATCACCCCCAGTTTTTGGTGGGGTTCGTGTTGCTTAACTTTAGTTTTCTCATGTTGTGTCATCTGTACTATTATTTGTCTGTTTGTCTTTTTATTTTGGCCATGGCGTTGTCAGTTTGTTTTCGATCTGTGAGTTTGAATGTCCCTCTGGTGTTTTCCGTCCCTACTCTATAAAAGCTTTGTCAGGTGGGAATTTTATAAGTTGTCTATTTAAATGGGTTTTATTGATTATTTTTTTATTTGGTGTTAATTGCAGATTTTGAAAGTTTCTGTCTGTTTAATTTAGTCACAACTTTAATAGACTGTGATTATTTCTAGCTTGACATACTGTATGTTTCCCTCTATATGTCGCTAGGTGATGTATGTCTCATTGATGTGTACCCTATATCTCCTTTCATATAGTTCTTCATATTTATTAAATAGCATTGATCAATAAAATAGTTCACTGTTTCTAAAGAACAGTCTGAGTTAAATTAGGATTAGTGACAACTTGTCAAAGTGAGATTACATGTAATCTAGTTTATACTGGTTTATCTGTATTTTTGTGGTTGTATATAAAAATCAAAAACACAAATTCTATAGAAAAGTTTATTCTATTTTCCATATTGTTATAAAAAAATGAAGTAATTCACAAAAATATGGCAGGATTTTTAGCAAATAGAGCCACACTGTTACACTCCGTCAGAAATGATATGTTAAATGTACAAATGTCATGGATTGTGGCTTGACTAGGTTTTAATGACAAAGTGGAGACAACTCTATAAATGCCATGTAAACAGATTGTATCTGGATTTACCTCCTTAAAAACGAATGATGATTTATACATCAAACTGAAAGACTATGAAATATATGCTTATTATTCAAATTATAATACATTGTATCTCATTTATAATTAACTTATTGTGTAGTATAAATTTGTTAATTAATCACCTCTATATCCTCAAAGATTATTATTTCAAAAGTTTAATTCAATTTAGATAACCTGCATATTCCAATCTTATACACATTTGAACACATTCTACGTAAAACCCTGTTGACCATGGATTGTCAGAGTTATTTTCCTTCTAACAAAGAGTTACCTCCCTGCTAAAAATGAGTTATCTCCCATGAGTAATACTGAAAGCATGTTTCTATGTAAAACAAACAAAAATAAATTAAAAGTTCTCAAAAATGTACATGTAAAAAACAAAACAGTGCAGAATGGAAATGAGACAAATAAAAAACAACTAACAAGTAAAAAATTAAAACATTTAGTTTTAAACACCAACTCCACAATATATTGCAAAATCACCATAAACAAATTAATTCCCAATCCCATGGTGGTGATGCATTTTCTGGCAAGATATAAACTTTTAATTGAATTCTAAAATTATTTTTTTATCTCCAAACTTTATTTTAACCAAAAACTATATTTTGGCCCAACTTTTTTCAAATTCATTCTTTAAATAAAGAAATCTGCTTCATCCACAGTATATCTCATTTCTTTATATGTATAAATTATTAGTTACATCTATAACTAATTTTTCAAGGATTAATATTCATATTTTGTATTCATATTTTTATTATATTTTGTTCTTTTAAATAAGCGAAAAAATGTCATCTGCTAATATTTTTCTTCTAAATCATCAATTAATTTTGATAAATTAAAATAAAATTAATTCTGTAACATTTTTAGAACCTTTTTTTTCAAAATGATATTAACATTATAAAAACAGAATTCCTAAATCTCATCTCACTAAAAATAATTTGTTTAAAATACTAAACAACAAACAAACATTTAACTATCACAGATTTCTATTAGGAAGACATATGTTTGTGGTTTGATCAAATGGTCTAATCAGACAAATCTTCTTCTTCATTTAAACTTTCAGAAGTGACCTCACCATACTACCAGTTGGTTATCATAAGGGCTATTGATTGAATGGCCTATTCCAACAGACTATTTCATTGAAACCATCAGTTTAGACCACACAAGAACATTAAGCTTATACATTTGGCCGTTTACCACACCTAACTCTTAGTAGATATAACCAAATTTGTATTAAAAGAGTACATACAAACAGAACACATAAAATATAACATTAAAAATTCTTAACATTTTTTACAGCAACTGTACATTCTATAATTAAAGCACTAAATATTTTTTTTTTGTATAAGTTAATAATCATTATGTTCAATTTATAAGTTACAACATCAACACACATTTTTAGAATAATTTGACTTTGTTATATATGTCAGTTTCTGTTTTTAAGTGCCAGCCTTAAAGAAACTTGAAACATATGATCTTCTTTTATCAATTTGATTAGAAGTTTGTCAATTGAAAGTAAGAACTAGTAGATAACGTTCTATGTTCTTGCCATAGACATATTGGTGAACTCAGGAAAATCCTGTTTGGATTTATCATGGGCACCAATGAAACATTTTGGTTTTTTTTTCAATTTCTCTTTTTCTCTTCTTTTCATTTCCTCTTAAATTTCTCATATTTTAATATATACCCAGCTCAAAATATCTTTTGCTTATATTTTGTAGGGAATAAAAGGTATAAATTTAATCCTTACAATATTAATATCACATGTTCCCCTAAATAAAGAGTACTCCAAACTTTAATATCTAAAACTACCATAGAGCAACAAAATTGCATTTCATAACTTAAATTTTTCAGCAGTTGCAAAAGACTAATCTCATGAATATGTAAATGAGCGGACATTATATGTCATGGGATTATGGACTATGAATGATTATATGGGGACATTGAAATTGTTATCTGAAAGACTGATGTAGTCATTTGTGTACATATTGCATCAGGTTGCCATGACAGCAATGAGACAGAGCTAGCTTCATTCTCTTCCTCCACCACGATCTGGATCTCTGTTCCTTAGACAGCATCTGAATACGAAGCCACAGTTTCCCACTCTTCAGCTGTTAATCCTCCCTTCAGTGTCCTTCTCACTGGAAATGGAAGAAAACAGATACATTTTTGTTGAGTAAAGTTTTAAGTTTCTAGTTAATATTTTTTTTCAAATATATATACATAAATGTACAAAAACACGATAAATAGACGATACTGGTCTAAACACAAATCTACTTTCCTATCAATCAACAAATCATTTAAAACGTCTACACAAATCTATATCTGTTAGTATTGAACACATTAAACGTTACATTTTCTAGATGAAAAAATTAATTTCCTAAATGGATCAATTTATACAAGAATATATATTTTGTGTCATATTTGAAATTGTTCAATCTTTTCATACAGTGCAACCTATCTATCAAATTGGTTAAAATGCCTAAGCTGTTAATTGCATAACATGTTATCTCTACTTTTTTAATGTAAAATTCAATGCTTTTTCTATACTCTACTTCACAAACTCCCATCGTTTCACTTTTAAATGTTATTGCCAACCACACCCTATTGTTTTCAAAAAAGAATTCCCTCCTTAATTTAAATGCATAATAAAATTCTTAATATTTCCATGCAATACAGAATTACAACTTCATAAGAATAAATAACTGATTTAAGATAATTACATGCTAACTTCATGCCTTTTAACCTTGTTTTGGTTTGAAACCATTTTGACAAGTATTTCATTCAGACATGAAACTATATAATATGTATTGCAATTTATTTCATGAGTAAAGTTCAGAAAATCACCTTAAACTCTATTGGTAGATTTATTTAGAGAACAACATTGATTTAACTGGGACGAGTGACAAACATTTATTACAGAGGATAGGCGAGCTTCCTGCACATATACATTATCAAAGGACAAACATTTATTACAGAGGATAGGTGAGCTTCTTGCACATATACATTATCAAAAGACAGACATTAAGCCCACTTATTGCAATATACATTACAACGGAACTGACGAGACATTTTACACAAACAGACATTAACCACTTGTGCATGTTACAATAAGCATCACAGATGCATAATTAAGCTCCGTTGTCACAATTTTAAACAGTTAAATGGATAAAGCACTTTGATCCAATCTCATCTGACTCATTAAATGTGATGGCCGTTAACTCAATAATTAACTGTGAAAGCTACTAGCTTTTAATTAGACATTTAGATGCAAGAGTAAGATCTGATGAATCTGTATCACAAAGAATGGACACGGTTTAACGGAACAAATTTCTTCAGTTACAAAGATTTTTTACATACTCTGCATACAAGCTGTCTGATTTACTTGCAACTGCATTTAATCCAACAATTTTTTCTTTTAACTTTCTTTTATTGTGTGAAAAAAAGATATCCTGTCAAACTGTCATAAGCAAAATGGACATGTTTGTTAACTTGTGATGGTGCAACACACCAAATGTCAGGGATCATCTCAAAACTTCTTTTTTCTTTTCTAAGCAAAATTTATTTTATACAACTAATTAATAAGAGAATCGATGATTCCTATAATTTTTTCTTGCGTTATTAAAGAGAAATTGTTGAGGACAAAGTGAATTTTCTTGTCCAAATTCTAATATTCATAAGGGTCAAATTTAAATGAAGGGATATATTTACGATTTTATCTTCATAATGAAGTTAATTGTTTTTCTATTCATCTGCGTTCTATACAAATCACTGTTTTTATACCATATTGACATAGTCAGTGAAGACAATTATATAGAGAATATATTTAATGTAATAGGCATAATATTATTATCAAGTGGTTCATTTTTCACCATGTATAAATTTCAAGATTTTTATCCAATTTATATTTTTCTTGTTCATTATTCTAATATTCCTTAAAGGTCAAATCTAAAAGATACTTTTGGAAAGAAATTTATAACCATTCACACATATATTACAAGATAACTTTTGACTAGATTTTGACAAAAGAAGTTTAGAGATGACTGCGAAGTATAGCAGAAATTTGTGTGACTGTGTCTAAGAGAAATTATCTGTCCATATTGCTTATGACTTTGAAAATATGTTGGATTAAACGCTTATTCCTTTTTCATTTTTCTTAAAATATCTAGCTACAAGTTAAAGCCAGTGTATGTAAATATAGAACTCCCTTCTACTAATACAAGTGATGTCTACAAAAACAACAAAATGTTTTTCCCGTAGTTTAATTTTCACACAAGAACTAGTAAAGTTTTAGTTTCCCGTATTTTAATTTTCACAAGGTTTTAATGCTTTTATTGATTAGTATACTGATAAAAATTACATCACAAAAAAAAAATCAAAAAGAGAAATCATGCTTAACAAAAGAATTAAATTTCAATGAACGAAAAATGAAATTAAAATGGAATTATTAATGGGAGAATTATTGGTAAAGATGTGTACAACAACCAACACATGTGTCTTGGGCATTAGTGATCTGTGTTCACAATCAACATACACTGAGGGAGAAATAAAAAGTGGCAAAAAAACATTCAAATAAAAATTGTCTAACAAACAATGAGCAATTTCTGGTTACCTAATAATGATCAGTGTCACTATCCCGAACTGAAACATAATTAAATAGTGCCTTTAAAGCAAGGTCAATAGTGCTGAAATAACTAAATATTACCCTGACCACAGGTCAATATCAAATAAATATATAACCGGACCACAAGTCAATAGTAAGATCAATGTGTAGAAACTAAATGATTTCAAACCTCAAGATAGTATAAGGCGTATATCTAGCTAAATGATATAGTTGCGTGTGACAGAAAGTGAAAACTTGTTAACCAATGAATGAAAGCAAATTAATTTGAAACCTCACTTAAAACATTTATTCTGAAATAAAAGTAATTTTTTAATTTGAAAAAATCTGATATTGCACAACATTTATCATGATCATGTATTAAAGTTTGTTTTTTCGTGTAAGTAACAGTGCAAACTTCTGAACTATTACAATGGACATGGTCTATGAGTTCATGACATCAAATCCCTACACGCACAAAACCCAAAGCAAAGATACTATGCTTTTATTGCTGTTCGTTTGTTACAGTGAGTTCTTCATAAAGTGAAAGCTCACACAGCAGTTCAACTTTTCTTACAGCTTTATTCTAGGTAATAATTTTGATATTAGAAAATATGATGCTATTTATCAGACACTGATCTCCTCGATGAATAATTGTTATGCACACAGAAACAGCAATCATACATCAATGTCATGAAGACAAACTTCTTAAAAAGCTTGGTAGCATATTTTAAAGTGTGTCCGGTACTGGTCAGCCTAAATACCTTTTGCTCCTGTACATACATAAGATACCAGGTAGATGATGTATAATATCAGGATTTTTCTGGAATGGATCAGATGTGTTTACATGTGTTTAAAGACACCAAAATACTCTTTTATATTAAGAATTAAAATTAAATTTACTTTTTGTTCCTTAAATTCAGAGAAAATTTAAATCAAATAACATCTATCTTAAAAAACAATGTCTCTATGATCATGCAATACTACCACATGTAATTTCCCATGCATACAATTTATACAATTTTACATTTTAATGTCTTTTATAAAAACTTGACAAATACATCTTTCCAACACATACCAGTAACTTCTCAATTCTGTTAATAATAAACATAAAAGAAATCTTATAAACAAGATTTACTATAATATCTCCAGTCTTCTTTTTGTATCAGATACCATACTACTCCAAGGAAACATTCTTTTTTGGTCAGTATTCTTGAAGATATAGCTTGCTGTTTTTAATTTTAAATAGTGTTCAACAAATATTTAAAACTTATTTTTTTTCATCTTCTTATACTTCAAAAATAAAAAGTTAATTCAAACTGACTATAGACAGTGTCCAATATGGAAAGAACCCAACAAATTTCCAAAGTTAGTGATTTAATGGGACAAACAAGATATTCTCTGGTAAGTCTCAAGACAAGAGCTTATTTATAGGAAAAGTTATTTGCATATTCAAAAGTTCATAGGTCAAACGAGGTATTCTGGGAGATTTTAGTAAACTAAATCAGGACATGCTACATAAACAGCCAAATAATTTTGAAAGCATTATTCAAAATTCTTCAAATAAAGTTGGCCAAAAAAAATCAAATTCATTGAAAAATCAAATATTTCTGCTCCCTCAATACTAACATGTAGTAACAAATTTATTTTCCAGAACTTCTATGGAATTCAATATTTTTTGGGAGTTACAGGAAATAAGTTTTGAGAGAGCAAAAATAAATAAAAAATTCTAATGCAATAGAATTGGCTCGTATCCACGGTGGACAATCTGATTTATTGGCTACAATTTATGCAGAGTTGCAGTTGACATTTCCAGGAATTTTTAAATGTTTCATTTGAACATTTCACAAGTATTGCATTAGAATAGAGGTAACAGCACTGTGTTGGAAGCATTGCCGATGTCAATTGGGATAAGATGGCCATAAATATCTGTCTTAATGGCTCAACTATGCAATGCCTGTAAAACTTCATTGACAACTGTCAAATCTGCAATTGACGACGGTATTAATTCCTACAGAGTACTGTTATTTCTTGAAATTTCACACCAAACTTGGGACCTACCAACAACTACCACAGGAATGATGTTCTACGTTCGGCTGCAAAAGTAATGTTGTGTTACTGTATTATTGTATTATTTTAATATGGAACCATTGGTTTAGGGCATTAAAACAATTATCTTTTATTGGTCAAACACCATTTACTTTACTTGACTAAATAGGACCATTGTGTAGGATGAAGAAACATGTTTTCATACTCTGTTTTATTTTAGTAACCAGATTAAATCATGACAAACAATAAAACAATATGTATCCCATATTTACATTTTCAACAACAAAATCCCAAAGTTTGATAATTTTAGTACTTATAATTATTTTTTTATTTTGTACCTTGGTTTCATTACTGGGAATACCTGTTTCTTACATAGTATTAAGTGATCGAATGTACAACACCAGTAATATACATGTTCTTATAATATAGGGTATTCCCAACTTGCAAACAATATCAGCATAATCTCCTAATAACCACCCTCCAAAAATACTGGCTTATCTATACTTCAACACAGGAAGATTCTGCAAATCAGTCATATAGATTCTTTTGATGACCTATGTCTACTTCCGTAAGCCCTTTATTACAATTGTCAATGTAGAAGTGTTTAAGTGAGAACCATTCTATGATTATCTAAGGATGTATAGTTCCTGTTGATTTATAAATAAGCCAATTATAAAAATACGATGTTTTGTAGTATTATTGCTTATTAACATATAACCATATACATACAGGATTTTCTGTGATTTTTGGCACGTTTCCTCTCCCTCGGAGCACTTCTGGTTGGTGCTGCCGTTGCGGTACGAACACATGCCTCTAATAAATCATCATCACCCGTATCATACATTTCAGAATCTGTTGTTACACAGCTACGAGAACTTTTATTACTCATTGAGTCCACTGAAAAAAAGGTTTGATCTTTTTTACAAACTGCTAATAAAATCTTATTATATCTATTGACTGATGAATGTTTAGAAACCAGTGGCAAATATTACAACGAAAACAGGATGATACATGACTATGTGATATGAATATGAACCCTGCTTAATAATAAACCAAAACCTGAGCAAGATTTTTAACATGCTATGTCACAAAGTAATACCACTGGAAGAAAGTCCCCTCACCAGGGCTAATTATTCCAACTACCAGGTGACCAGTCTTTCCTGTTACGACAGTGCATATTCACAACAAATAATTATCTATAAAGGCAGACATCGATTTGCAAAGGTAAATATTAACAGACATTTTGCTTTTCTTTTGGTTTTATTTCCTCTTCATCAAAACCTTATTCAAAGGGACCATATACTTACATGGTCGTCTACTTCTGTGTTTCTGACCAGGGAAGCCTCTATCATCACAACTAACATAACCATTAGATAATATTTTCTGTAGTTCATCATCTTTGTGTGTTTCCTTTGGATTTGTCATAGAGAATCTATCAGTCTGGGAAAAAGATGAATACATAGTTTAACCAAAGGAATTAACTTAGAAGGTTATGCAGTTAAACTAGATCTTGCAAAGGTTATTATCATTTGAAGTATAAGAATACAGGGTAAATATCAGTTTATTAAGGACTGAGAGTCAGTTGCTTATAGTTTGTTGCTGTAATCAGTAGCCATAATTTCTTTGTGAATTTAATCATTTTTAATTTCTTATTTCTCTAGACTTTACAATTTTCTAGTCATTAATTTTTGGAGTCATTTCTTAATTCCTTATCTTAAGGTTATTTTATAAAACCATATGATATCAATCAGTATCAAGTATGATTACTTTAATTTGTTTAGTTGTAAAAACAAAAAGACCATTGAACAAATTTCAAAACAAATGATATTTGAAACTATCAACTGAAACTTCAAAATGTTTTCATTACATCAGAAATGACTAAAGAGTGATTCCTCTTCTGTATAAACTGTGAAAAATAAAATTTGTGAGTTATTCTTTTTACATATAATCATATATTTTATTATAAACGTACATCTACAATCATTTTTCCTCTTGTTTTCTTTCGCTCTCTCTGATTGGCTCGTTTCTGTAACTGCTGTATAACTTTCTCCCTTGTTGTACGATACTCCAGAGAAAATTCACTGACAATCTTACAGAAAGCATTAACTTTGAGATCTTTGGCTGTATGTGTAGGTAATCCCATGTACAATAATAACTTTGTGTACCTAAATAGAAATAATTAGTGTGTGTAGGTAATCCCATGTACAATAATAACTTAGTGTACCTAAATATAAACCATTAGTGTGTGTAGGTAATCCCATGTGCAATAATAACTTGGTGTACCTAAATATAAATAATTAGTGTGTGTAGGTAATCCCATGTACAATAATAACTTAGTGTACCTAAATATAAATCATTAGTGTGTGTAGGTAATCCCATGTACAATAATAACTTAGTGTACCTAAATATAAACCATTAGTGTGTGTAGGTAATCCCATGTACAATAATAACTTAGTGTACCTAAATATAAACCATTAGTGTGTGTAGGTAATCCCATGTACAATAATAACTTAGTGTACCTAAATATAAATCATTAGTGTGTGTAGGTCATCTCATTTATAATAATAATTTAGTGTACTTAAACATAAATCAAGTGTGAGTAGCTAATCACAATGTACAAAAAAAATTCTTATTAATATAAATCATCAGTCTTGCTCAAACTGTACGGTGTATTGTAGAATAATAATTGTAATACAGTGTGACATGCATAAATAAATGATGAACATCTTCATAAAAATATTTTGTCCCCTTTGGTTTTAAATCATCGATCTTATTTGTAACCTTTGTCCTTATTTCCAAGCCTCTCTCTTAGGACTCTGCAATGGGAATCTTTTCTCAATTATGTATACCACCCCTTAAAAGCACAGTGTTTCCAAGAACACACAGATAAAAGGATATTTTCTTTGACATTGGTAGTATTATATTCTTAGAGAAGCTTAGAGACAATGGGAATGTTTTATTCTAATTTAAAATTCATCATTCTGCAAATGTGTCTTTGTTTTTCCACTCATCTGAACATAAAATAATGAAAACCAACCTTCTACATGTTCTTACTTTAGATCACTTACCTGTGACAAACTCTTCTATGTACAATTTTTAATATCATAATTCTTTCTGCAGCATCTGCTAAAAATTCTGATAATCTGTAAAGAAAAACACAGACATCAACAAAATTTTTTTTAGATATGCTTAGCATTCATTTTTAACACACCTCTTGTTTTCAAATTATTTGAAAAATAAATTTAAAGCGACCTTTTTTTTGATTGAATTAATCCTGCAAGTTGTTTCATTAAAATTCATTAGAGTACAAATAGTTGAATGAACATTTTAATTTAACTTGCAATAAATTTTTACCTTAATTTTTATTTGGTGTAAAAAGCTGTTGTTTTTTTAATGAAAACAGCTCATCGTCAACTAAGGTTTTTTTCTACAAATAATTCTGACCAAAACACTTGGAAATTATAGAAATTTGTTTCAACAATTTCTCATAAAATGTATGCTATTCCTTTGGTGATCAGTAAAAGACACAAAACAATTTACCATAACCAAACACAGTAAAACGTCTGCCACATCAAACAAATAATCAACTGTATAATGAATTGGGTTTTTTTCTTTTTCTTCATGTCATCATGATTTAAAATTGCATTTAAGTATGTTGTTAGCTTTTTCAGATAGACTGAAATCCAAACACACTATATTTTTTTTAATAAGATGAAATATGATTCTTTATTCCAGTCAATTCTGATTGATGAAGATGATGACAGTTCGAAATGTTTCATACAACAATGGCCAGTTGATTAACAATTTCTTTCATTTTCATTTTTTGAATATATTAAAGGGTGTACATAATCTTTGTAGCAAACTGCTATTTAATCAATGTATAATATATTCTTTTGCAAGAAGCCTGGGATTGTGATTTCATTTCAATTACTTAAATTTTTCTCTTTTTCTCAAGAGCCACAGCAATTTTTATATGGGAAAGATGTGTAAAATGTGCATGTAAACATGAATGGAAATTCTATATGTGCCAATGTAACATAATTCAACACAGAACTTGATTTATACAAACCTTGGAGTACTAAACCTAAACAGAAATCATTATCTTGTGTAACACCACACATAATTTTACGCTTTTCATTTTGGTCAATATATTTTATACTTTGTCTTATTTTATGTGTCAATTCTGCTTTTTAATTGATTCTGCTCATATTTATGCTATTTTGTCATACAAGTTCATATTTTTAACTAAAATTAGACTGTATATCTAATATACAATTTACTTACATGAAATGATGTTTTTGTTTGTTTCTTTAAAATAAACACGAAAAAGAACTTAAGGATGTTCCCTCCTCTTGTTTTAGAAATTTTGCCAGATATTCGGAATCCTCAGGTTTTTTCCATGTAGTGCCATATAACATTTTGCCCGCTAACCCCCTCTTTTCTTTCCATAATTTGATTACATATAGTTTAAAATGCCATCTTTGAAAATCTTATAAAATCCTTATTTTTTATAGTTTTTGAAATAAAAAATGTGCCACTGTAAAATGTATGAAAAATCTGGAGAGAATTATTTCACGCCAAATTTTCAATGGCATATATCTCAAAAACAAGCACATTTTTTTCTGCTTTTTTAGTTCCTTTATTTATAAACTATCAATCTATAACAGTCTTTTTAAAAGCTTGTTATTTTGAAACAGAGTAGCAAACATCCTTAAAGACCAGAAAATGTAATTGTAGTCTGATAACTCATATCAACTAATTGGTTTGTTAACCTATATCTAATGTTTTTGAATCAGTCTGCCACACGAATCTTAATTTTCATAAACCAATCTGAGATATTGACAAAAAAAAAACAAGTTTTAATTTTATTGTATAGACAGATTATTATTAACTCACTTGGACTTTATACTAGAACTTGAGCTTCCATCATGTTTAGCAATTGCACGTAAATGATCCCATGAGGCTTTACAATCTAATTCTAATCTGTTCAGTTTATTGGCAAGTTCATCCCAATCAACCTGAAATAAGAATACATATTTTACTATACAAGTACATTTTTGTCCTTTATGTAGAATATATACTTTCAGAAAAACCTTCATTTTTCAGTTTTGTTTCAGAAATAATACATAGTGATTCTCTTTGATTTTTTAAGTTATATGTTAAACCTTTTAAATTGCAAAGATCAGAAAAAACTCCTGGTAAAAATTCATAGACTAACAAGAAAATATGTGTCCATAGCACACCATGCCCAATTCATATGTTTTTGGATTTCCATCATTGTCCATGTTGAGTGAACCACGAAATTTTGGCGGAAACCCTTCGTTAGCATACACATCAAAGGATTACCTAACTATGAACATATGTACATGTTCCGAGATTCAAAATATGACTTCAAACTATCTTAAACCAAATTTTAAACTGATACAAGACGGACAGACAGATTGGAAAAAATGATGACCTTCTATTGTTGTTAGTTGGGTATAAAAATTGATACATTGAATCTGGAACTTCCCCCTCTTAACATCTAGATAATGTTCCAATAACTGAATATGAATAAAACAAGTATTCTGAAATTTTAAAATAAAACAATGAAGTGACACTTACCCGTGAACATCTAGCTAATGTTCCTATATCTGAATATAAATCTGTCGTGTCTGGGAATTGTTCGTTGATGATGCTACACAAATGATGAAGTAATGAATGTTTATGTACAGTGTCTTTAACTTCAGGTATTTTGGTTAAATAATCGATACTGAAGCCTCGCGCCTGAAAAAAAAAAACAAGTTGAATCAAATCTGGGAAATCTGCTTGATGAAAAGTAATTCATACAATATTGTTGGATTAAGAATGAATTTATTGAAGAATATAATAGCAAACTTACAAAAGTAACATCATAAGAAAGCAGATTGATTGTTCTTTGGTTTCTAAAGACTGAAGAATGTCCTGTTAGGAATTTGTTCTAGCCATTTGCCTTGAATCCATTTAAAATATTTACCGCTAGAGATTAAGCAACTTATAATTAATCTACCTGCCAATATCACGTCAATTAGATTTTTATGGTTCTGAATATTCAATTTCCAACTTATATAAATAGTAAAAGCCATATCTTTCTTTCAGTTGCATTTAAATTTCCCATTATTATTCCTAGTCAACAAACTTTGCAATATCAACCTAATTTATTTATCATAAATTTTGTTCTCGTCCTGAATATGCATGTAATATTTGCCACTGGACATTAGGCATACAACAATCAAACAATACTTACTGAGGCTCCATTTAAAAAGTTTCCAATGGTTAATACAACTGATAAAATACATTTAAATGTTTTATTGTTCCGTAATTCATCTATTCCTTTCTTCAGGTCAGACAATGGTTCAGCTACTTCCTGTAATCAAATATTATAATCTGTGTTTAACTAAATACATTGTAGGACTATACTTTATACTGTAGATTGTTTTGTTTTTGTGAATATCAATATGTATTGACGAATGATAATTGTAATTTGTGGATACTTGCATTGATTGCCTGGTACATACAAGCTTTAAGGAAAGTTGAATTTTGTTGAAAATTTGTTATTTGTTCTTCAATCATATCCATAAGATACACAAAAGTTACCACTCCACAAAGAAAATGAATCCACAATTACGTCAATAATACAAATGATTTCTTTCAGTTTTTAGTGTCTTGCATTTCTTTTTTAATACAAATTCTTTTTCACCAATTTCTATTTCCTTTAGTATTTCCTGAATGAGTCAATATGCTCAATTCAATGCAGCAGGTAGGGGTAATAATAACATTTCATAAATGTCTTTGTCCATATAGTTATACCTTGAATACCATTGTTTGATATATACCTTGAGAAATATATCTTATCCGTTGCTTTTTAGAAACTGTGAAATTACATGTACATTATTTCATACAGTACCTGACAAGAAAAAATTCTCAATATGATTGATTCTAGTTTCAAAATATAACTTGAATAGATAAGTTGTCACTGAAGAACTTCCAATCAAGATCATAGTCTGGTTCCTTTCATGTAATTACTAATGTTATTTTCTTTATTTCATTATTGTTTGATCCACACCCTCCCCATATCATTCCCTTTGCAACCACAGAGGCTGTTGTCACTAAATTTCACTTAAACTCTCAAAATGAAAGACTTACTGATTCAATAACTTCATAATCTAACTTAAATAACCAGAGAGACAGTCGAGCCTGTAGTTCACTAATAGATGACAATGTGAGGAGAAACTGTTCGGCTGTTCCAAGTGGGATATCTGGATTAGCCATCTGAGCTTCTAAAATCTTCCCCTTTTCTTCTTCAGTTGGAATCATAGATGTTAAGATTTTCTGTAAAAGTTAATTTATAATTATTTTATTTGTATATTTTTAAGTTAATTTAAAGTTTTATGTTCAATCAAATCAAATCTATCAATCAATCATTGTTCTATCAAATTCAATGTTTATCATTCAATCAGATTAAATATAATTTGCCTATACATCTATAAACAGAGCGAGTTTATTTAAATGTGGTTAAGTTTTTAAATAAAAGTAAGACTTAAAGTCACTACTTGGTAAGAGATTTATTCATGTCATATTTACTGACATCTTCATTTATTAAAGTTATAAAAACTTTAAATTCATATCAAATGTATATGTCTTTTTCACCCAGAAAGATAAACACAAATGTCATTTTTTTTTTAGTTTGTGTAAGTGAAGTTGATAAAAAAATTTAGAGAAAAATGGTACAGTATAGATATTCAATTATTTTCATTATACATGATGTTTGCAAGACAGAGATGCTGCTACTTATTCTAATGAAATACCACTGAAATACTGTCATGGTTTTCTGAAGAATGGACTGAAACAAACAATACCAATCTAGTTGGGTAAACAGTTACACAAGTAAATGTATATATATGCTCTAGTCATTTTCATGGCAGAACAATAACTTGCCTCAATACCCTCTTTGTTCATAATGGAGTTATCCATCTTTAAAATTCCAGCTTTGATGGTCCTTGGTGGAGGTAGAACTGTTAAACCAATGTTGATGGCATTTGATCTTTTGGGGTCAAGGACATTGATTTCTTTCTTACCAGCAGCTTCAGCTTTCTGGAAACAACAGTTAAATTGACAATGAAATACACTTACAATTAATCTGGGAAAAACAAAACCTTGATGAATAAACAATATGAACATACAGTACATGGCCATAAGTATTACTCACTTAGAATTTTTTTGGTTATCATGGTAGGATTTTAGCCAACAAGGTGTCGAAAGATGCAGAAATGTCTGAAGATTTTAGGATTTAATATTCGGTCATAATTTTGTCAGTTGTTTTTATTTTCTTCAGATGTGAACATGAATATTTTTTTACCAATTCCATTTGGTTGAAATATATAGCAAATATTCTGACAAAAAATTATACTTGTGTGTGTGTATCATGGTAATAAAAATAAAACCAATGTTTATAAACCTGTAACACGTCTGCTTCTATTGCTACCAAGTTGATTAAAATCCCACCAGAAATGATCCCACAATATTTAAAAAAAAATTGTAAGCAACAAATAATTATGCTCATGCACTTTAAATTCATTCCATATTATCACCTTGTTTTACGTTTGTGTTTGTATGTCTGTTTTTTTGGAGGAGTGATTTGTTGGTGATTGGTGTAGTCTATTCCAATGACAAATATTGTAATAATTTCTCTTATCCTTTTATTTATCATTCATTTAAATTGTGATTTAAACTTTTTAAAGTATTTTTTAAAGTTTGTATCTGATAAGCTCAAATTCCAAGCAAGTATCTATGAATAAATTTTTTTTTTTATATTTTGATTATCAATTTTGAATTTAATTCAAATTTGACCAAAGTTCACACTAGGTTTACACTATTAAAGTTACAGTCATTTAACAGTTTTTGAGTATGATTTTCAAACTCAGAATAAAAAATCCACCAATCAAAATATTGAATTAGGTGTTTTGAGTAAAAATTTTGTACCCTTTGAATACTGTGTAAAGTTTTAGGGCAGAAAGTCCTGGTTTAATAATGTTGAGGACTGAAGATGATGTCAAAAGAATAAATGTGTATAGCATATTTTTTTTTGGACTGGAAACTTTTCTTTGTAGTTGTACGGTCTAGATGAATATTTGCTTTCTGTATATCAAGGGATATGATTTATATGTCAATTGAATATCTATGCCAATGGTTCTTTATCATCTGTTTTTAACTCCAATGTCATAATGTACTTAATGTCTAATGATTGTAAGCAAACAAGCAAAACAAAACATTTCTTGAGTAAGTAAGGGGATCGGGAAGTAGAATTAAGGGAAAAAATCATGCAAGAGTGGACTAACATGCTTTTATAGTACACACTCAACTATTCTAACCATTAGATCACGCTATATTTGAAACAGTGTCCTTGTGAGGAAGTGAATTTGAAAAAAAAAAAAAAAAAACAGAAATGGGCCATCTAGTGTAATGGGCTGGGACAAACTTTCTAATTAGATATACCAACTGTTAGTTCACTTTTTATATTTTGAATTCATCATTGTAAAATCTTCAACAACAGATGATAATGGCAGATTAATAAATGAGCTTCTTCTATGTTTTGTGGTTGATAAAGAAAATGTGAGTATCTATCATTGTGATATGCATCCTGTCACATTTTTCAAACTGCTCCTAATTGCACTTCAATCATATTAAACTAGTTCAGTTTAGGAAATTTTTCTTTAGGTACTGTATCTAAATAAGAGTTTTCTGTTGAAATTAAACTAGAAAGATAGCAGAAAATCAAAGAACTTTTTATAGTGGAGATTTTTAGACATAACTACAGAAAATTGTCCCATGTATCCTGTGATAGTATATAGCTGCTGCTGGTTCCTACATTCTGAGATTATTGCTTTACAGAATTTCAATAAATTTATGAAATATCTGTAGGTTTCAAACAAAATTTTCTCCAGGATTTGGAGATAAATAATTAGCATGCAACTAAACTCTTGGAAAAAGATGCCTTTCAAAGGATAAAAATGAGAAACAAAATAAAGTTCCTTTAACTGTTTCTCAGGACAAGAATTCTAATTTGGTGTGAAGGAAAACAACAAATTCAGAGAAAGAACATAAATAAATTTATAACTCTATCTGATATACTTTATTTAATAGATTAATTATGATGGTGGTGTGTTTTTCTACGGGAATGATATGGGTAAAAAATAAAAATGAAAGGGCAAACTGGCATAAATAGAAAGCTATCCCATCATCCTTACCACATCCTGTTGTTGTTAAATTATATACATGCAATAGCCAATCACAGAATTTTATGCAAATTAGGCACCATGACCAAATAGAGACAGCAACACACAGTATGAAATAGAAAAATGGTGAAATTATTAACATGATAATGATGATACAATGATTTCCTGAAATAAAGTTTGAGAATTAGTTGACGATCATGCATTCTTATTTCTACCACTTTAATACTAAAAACATCAATTTATTAGACATTATTTTTTATCATAACAACATTTCCAACAACAACAAGAGAACAGAAATTCCTTATATTATGTCATGTATATTATAAGTTTACAGCGAAAAGAAAATACTTTTATTTTCTTTTTTATTGTTGTTAATACAAATAATGTATTTTACAACTCAAGATTGCCTTTATAAACTATTCCGTCTTTTCCTCCAACAAAGATTTACATTGTAGTAAGTACTTGTGTTTTGATCAATAAAAGATCAGCTTTTCTTTAGAATTCCTCTTTTAAGTTACAATGTAATCATATGAATGATGAAAGACACAGCATATTTATACATTTTTCCTCAGTTGCAAAAGTAAAAACATTTTTTTTTTCAAAATTTTATGACAATCAAAGAAAGTAGCAAGAACAATGCACTTCTAAGAAAACTTAAAATATTTTCTTCAAATGTCTGGACAGTCTACCATAATTGCAGATGAACTAAAGCAACACTGACCTTTTGTTTAATTTCACTCATTCGAGTCTCAAACAAGTGTTCCAGTTTATCAGGGTCTACTTTAACATCAATGAGGTCTTTCCATACAGTTTCTCCCTTAGTTACAGGGTGTGGCTGTTCTGGTTTGACCTCTTTCCAATGAAGTTTTAATGTCTTCTTTTTCTTTTTTAATGTTGACCCAGGTGCAGGTGGCAAATTTAATGTATTTTGTGGTGTTCCACCAAACATTGGTGGTGGTGGGGGAATTCCTCCTGGTAGTGATGGGGGTGGAGGAATTCCCATTCCTGGGGGAGGAGGAGCTGGAGGGGGACCACCTATACCAAAGGGTGGTGGAGGAGGAGGTATTCCACCAATGCCAGGAGGCCCTCCAGCGAATGGCACTGGAGCAAAAACGTCTATATCTTCATCGTCACATAAATCGGTAAAATCCAAGTCTTTTATTTTTAATGGCCGGTGTAATCTTTTCTTAAGTTTGTCCCATTGTAAATCACTTTCTGTTAGAACAATTTCCGGAGAAGTTGGTTTAGGTTTAGGAGGTTCATTAGGTTTTACAACAAGTCCCTCTTTCGCTTTAGATATAAGTCCACTAAGGTCACCTTTCGGTGCTTGCTTTTCTCTACCATTTTGAATTTCCGGTTTTTGTTGAAATCTATCAATATTTGACTGAATTCTATTGTCATCATAATTTTCTTGAGGTTTCATCATAGGAATTCCACCATTGTTTTGTGATAAAGCATCTTTAAGATGTGACACACTCTCACCACGATTTTTAAGGACGTCCACATCAGGATGTTGTTGTGATTGTAATTTTTCTGTTAATTCTCGTTCCTTCGCTTTGTCTTCTTCCTCTTTTGTTTTTTGCATGTACTGTAACCATCGACTATTACTACTATTAGGACTAAGTTCGTTATTATTTTGTTCCAAAGTGTTCTGAGATTCATTATATTTATTATTACGCATTTCAATGTCATTTTGTTGTTTTATTGAGTATCCATGAGACTTCTGTCTTCCATCGTCTGCAATTAAAAGGTTTAAAAACTCATCTGATTACAAGTAAGAATTGAAGCTGTTTATATATTAACAACAACATGGCTTTTTTCATTTGGTAAAATGCTTTCATATGAAGATTTCATAACAACATAATACATTCCTTATATCAATCTGTAAAATATGTTACAAATTTTACATTATTCAACATTTTCTAATATCAGTTTCCATGGAAACAATAATTTAAACAAAACCAAAGTATAATATTGATCAAATAATAAGTTTTATAAATATTATCCTTCTACTAAAGTATAAAGTTTTTAACTTATGGTTGTGAATAAAACCAGCAGAATATTAAACTGTAAAACACTATATCTTCAACTACGCATTAAGCTAGAAAAAGTTTTAAGCCACACTAAAGTATAAACAATTCTGGTAACTAGTTTTCTATAACACGTTTACTCTAATCATATGTTGTTATGCTCGCTCTGCTAGTGCGCTAAATGAAAATTTTTACGGTTTTCTCTATATTTTTTTTGTACTGTCATGACTGCTTTAATTACAAGTTTTGTATTGAGCGAGGTAGTATTTTTCTTCCACTGTCATATTTTTCATGTATGTAATAAATCGTGTAGAATTTATTTACTAATTTACATTATATTTTGAATTTTAATCCAAATATACCTTCCTATAAATCATACGACTTTAATTAAAAAGTGCAGGATTAGTAACAGTGGAAACATTAGTCAGAACCTTACCACCCAGTCTCTCATTTTCACCCAGAGGTGGTGAATAGTTAGTTGTTGCAGTCTCCCGCGGTATATCCACCGCAGGAGGCATATTATTATCACTACTACATGTGTCTGTTGATGAATTGCTGGCAACAGATGACCTATCTCCATTTCTATTGACAACTCGCTGACGAATATTTTCGTGCTCCTGATCTTTAAGAAATGAGCGCTGTCTTTCTCTGCGATCTCTGCGTGTTCTAGTCATATCTGTGGGATCAGACCATGCCTTGTTAGTGTTTCACACAATAAAAGTGACAAAAAAAGCCAAACACATCCAAGAATATCTAACAACTCTGCAACTTATAATTCTAATAGCAAATTTTTTCCAAACTTTTAGACACCTAATTTTTCTGTCCGTGCAGTTGTTGTGATTCATTTCTTTAAGACAAAGTATATATAATTGGAAGATATTTCTGATTTTTATGAAATTTGTATGCATTTAAAACTAGTTCAAATGCATCTTAATACAAAAGAAATGATATAGGTAGCTATTAAACTTCCAGAGATAAACAGTTAACAATATAAGATACAGGTCTATGATGTATAGAATATATATGTTGAAAGTTGTTTATGTCAAATCTGAAGCCTATGGGAAATTAACTGGTTGATGAATTTTAGAATCACAAAAAGTTGAAACAAAATCTCCACTAATTTCTTTTCATATTTTATGAGATTTCATATTTATTGTTATTCTTATCATAAGTTGCATTGCTGTCTTGCTTTTTAAGGTAACAAAATCATGAAATTCATATTTAAAAAAAATAATGATATCAAGAAAAAATGTAGAGAAAACTGAAAATGCAAAAACTATCTTGCAAATATAATCTGTGCAACTTGTATGGATTAGATGCATTGAATTTATTCCCTTTTTTCAAAAAATTTATGAAATTCATTCTAAAAAAAGTCAATTTAGTATAATAAAAAAAAATTGAGTATTAAAATGCTGATCTAATTCCTACAAGATACACAAAGTAAAACCATAGCAAAAAGCCACAAAATGTTAACAGACTTGAAAATCTGGTAAAACATGATCTAAAATGTAAAAATAGGATCAGTCACAAAATTGTGATTCAAAAGTGTAAGGAAAAGTAATGTGATCAAGGAGGATGTGTGTCTACTTAGGAGGAGACAACTCCTTACCACTGGAATCAAAGAGAGACGATTTGTCATCCTCATCCTTAGCACTCTCTTCAACCGAAAACATGTCATCTTCCTTATTTTCATCAACCGAAAATAAATCGTCTCTACTTTCTGCTATAGAAACTAAATCATTGTCTCTACTCTCTAATAGCGAAACTAAATCATCAGCCTTACTTTCTGCCAATGAAAGAAGATCATCGTCCCCTTTCATGCTTTCATCAATCAAACCTAAATCTGTCTTTTCTCCATCAGAACCTAAACATATCATATGATTCTTGTATACTCTACAACTTGATATCTAAGACATTCTCACTTAATTCTGTAGACCTTATGAATTAATGTTTGACCAAACCATAGTGTTTCACCAATATTTTCTCATTAAATACTGTAAACCAATTAACTTTTGTGAGAGTTCTGTTTTTTTTACTTTCCTGGGTATAAATCGTCACTATTAGGCAAACCATATGGATAAACCAAAAAGTTAGAAAATCGTGAAAATAAATCTTTGCAAAGTTAGCTAAAGAGGGCTGAATGCCAAAAAAGTATCCATGTAAACAAGTTGTTTTACAGTACTCATAATTTGAAAATAAAACGGATTGAAAACATCAAGATAATAATTGTCATTAACAATATACATGCTTAAAATACAATAGGTATTTATAATGGTCACTGAATTTGTCCCAATTTCCATCCCATAAGTGCTCAGTAGTGAAGTGACCACTATAAATAAGCTATTACTTTCAAACGATGTTAGCACCAAATTTCATCCAGAAGATTTGTCAGGTTTGAATATATGAAGAAATTTCTGATGTTATCTAGATTATCGTAAAGTAAGATTAGCCCATTGTGTAGCTACTAAATCTCCTGAAATTGGTGCACAACAAATCATAAATAAACTCAAAGAAGATACAAACCAATTCATAACACTCATATATAGAAACATTCTCTTTTCATATCTTACTTTTGCAAACTCAAAATAAAAGCAATAGGTTATTATATTTATACAGCCACAATGCTGAAATTGACAAATTTCTTGTTAATTTGCTTAAATTTTAATTACCATTTATAAATTAAGCAGTTAAAAATAAGCCATTTATTTACTCCAATTAAAAGCAATGCAATCATTTCAACAGCCACAGAAACATATACCTATGCCTCAAGTTTGCAAATTATGGTCCATCCAAGAACAGTATATACATGTTGTAGTTCATAATTCTGATGAAAGTGTATTGACTCTGATTTTCTAATTTTGAATGAGAAACAATGATTGTTTTCATGTTTAAATCCATTTTGTTCTTGAATGAATGATGTCAATAAGTTCATGGCCAACAAGTGTATAAATTCAATTTTGCTAATAATCTGAATACTAATGAATGCCTGAACTTACTGTTTTGTGACTTAGGACTAAGTTCTGCTGTACCATTAACTTGGATATTTTTAGGCATTTCTGCCACTTTGTCTGGCGGCTCAACATCTTGAATCATCTCATCTAACCTTGTCCGTCTTTTTCTGTTAGGGTCAGGCATTTGATCCTGGATGTTTTCTGGTGGCAATGAGGCATTCCTAATGGGAGAATTAAATAATTATTTAGCAATACTCAAATAAGGCATTAAGTTGTCTATTAAGAATTGATTCAACTGTTGACAGCAGATTACAGTAGAGGTCATTGATGAAAACCAAATGTACCAGTACAATATAATCTCCTTTTCTAAAGATTGTTTAACAATCTTCAATTTCAATACAGACTTACTTGATCTGGTTATCTCCATTGTCAAACAGTTATAAATTTATCTCCCTTGTCAGACAACTCATAAACTCATACTGCCTATGTTGTCTTTTCAGAAGCATGTTTAGTCAAGAATCGGACATAAACATTTGTGTTTACATTGGGTGCATAGATTTCAAAGAGATTCTGACAAATGATTATGACTACAACAACCCATGGAACAGGAAAATTGATATTCACAAAATAAAATACCACACATATATATGTCCTTAATAAAAACTGACTTTACTGGGGAGTTAAAACAAAATAAACAGGACCTAGTCACAGTTCACTTAAAATCTTGTAGCCTAATTTGTTCAATTTTTATTCCTGTTGATTTGCTATGTACATTTGAATAATTGGTTATTTCTGCATTACATTGATATTATTAAGAGGACCCAAAGTTCAGGTTGCTTTATTTTATGAAAGTTCAGCTGTAGTAGATAATGATCTTATAATAAATTAATAACTTACTGTATGGATTGATTTCTCAGTTCAGCATAGCGTTCTGCTGCTGGTTTCTTCTCATCTTGTAATGTCAACAATGAAGGAACACTTCTATTTTTTCCCTGTAATTTCTTTTGTTGAATTCCTGTAGAATAACGTCTGCTCTTCCTAACACCATCTGCATCACTCTTAGTCCTTGGAGTACGTCTAAAATATATATACTTTGTTAAAACAATATTGTTAAAAAAAAACAATAATTTTTTTACTGTTATCTGTACGAGTTAACTTCAATATTAAGAATTAAAACTGACAAAGAGAGATAATTATCATTCAGTAATATATAAATACCCTGCCTTGTACTAGATTGATACACTGAGTCAAGATTTTTACCATACTAGCTCACAGGGTGATGCCTTACTCTGAACCAACCAGTATTTGCTATCACTCTAAAATGCCAAATGCTTGGTGGAGACGCAGTAAGTACCAATTTTAAAGTATCTGGTTTGACCAAACCTCCCAACAAGGGGAAGATCAAGCTAACATGAGCCTACAGAAACAGCTCAATTGGTGACATGCATAGACTTTGTTTGACTAATTGATGTGAAAATGTGTAGAACTTTATATATATGATTTCAATATAGAAATAGAAGCAGAAATTCTTTATTTGACCAATCATAAAGCCTTGCAGGTTTCAAATTTCAAACAATGATTAGTTATTTTTTAATGACAATACAATATATGTAAATCAGTTTTATTGAACAGTTTTTTTTTCACCTGAGATGTTCTCCCTGTACCTCCTCCTCCTCTTCTACTTGATCTTCATGTTTAAGTGCTGATTCGTATAACTGAAACTGACCAATCAAATCTAAGTCTGCTCCGTTCCTCATAATATGTCGTTGTGTAACACGCTCCATTTCTAACTCTTCTAAAGCATCTGTTACATCATAAAATGTGTCCTGATCTGGGATTGCACTCAAAACCTTTAATTGTAAAATCAAAAACATTATTTGATAATTTCATGATTTCATGAGAAACACAAGATAATATATTCAGATATTCATGGTTTTTTTTCAATCAAGTATTATCAGACACTACTTTATGTTTCGTTAGAACTACAAAATTCTGAATCATATTAACAAATGGGTAGTGAGTAGGATGAGTTATGGTAAAATCTTTAGTCAACATGCTATGTGGTATGGGTTTTGCTCATTGTTGAAGGCCGTACAGTGACCTATAGTTGCTAACTACAACAATGATATGATTTGATCATTTTACATAAAGATATTTGAGGTCATATGAAGTTAACTGTGGCAAAATAGTATTGTTTGACAAAACACAGAAAAATCAATCATCACTCATCAATAAAAGGATTAAAATTAGGAATAAAGTCAAATTCTGAATGATGCCTTTTGCAAACTTTTTCTTCCTTGTTCTTTTTAATTAATTCAGAGAAAAGCAAGGTGCTTGATGTTGGATTGAATGATTGATTGTTGGTGTTTAACCCCACTTTCAGCATTGTTGGCTTTATAGTGGCAGTCAGCTTTTATTGTTGGTAGAAGCTTGAATGCCGAGAGAGAACCATGACCTTTGGCAGAAAAACTGACAATCCTAGTCAATTAAGATTGGAATAGAATGCACCTGCCACGTGCGAGGTTCAAACTCACAACCTCAGGGTTGACAGGCTAGTGATACAGCAGATGAACTACTTATAGCACTCGGCCACCCATGTCCCAACTTGATGATGGAATCTGTATTTTATGAATATTCAAGTTGGTAAACAAACAATAATTTCTACACCGTCTCCTCACCTTGTTTACTAATGTCATGGAGTATATAAGGAGTTCTGTGTCACCTCCATCTTTCTCATCTAAAATACTCATAATATTTGTCCAAGGACTCAAACCTGTAAAATAATACAAGCATGTAATACATGAGAAGCAAACTATTTTGATACATCTAATTGTACAAGATAAAAGTTGTTAGTGACAATGGTAGAAACTAATTGTTTTAGCAAATCTTCAAGTCTTTAAATTGTTGAAGGCTGTACGGTGACCTATAGTTGTAAAACTTCTATGTCATTTGGTCTCTGGTGGAGAGTTGTCTCTTTGGCAATTATACCACAACTTCTTATTTTCAAATTTAAGTATATTTATTATGTTTATAAAATCTCAATGTCTTTAAGTATTTTAGAAAATCTTTATATCTATAAGTATTTTAGCAAATTTTGAAGTTTTTCAGTATATTAGCTAATCTGCATTCCTGTATGGTTTATGAATTAAATGTTAAAATCTGGCATACAAAAACTTGATAACTTGATGGGACTTAAAAGACTGTGTCTGGAAATATAATTGTCTTTCCTTTTACTACTAATGTGGGCATTGACAGGATTAACCTAGAGTCAATATCTTACTTCTTTTCTTTCACAGGAGGTGGTGTTTTACAGGTATGGATCAATGATTTCAGGGTCACCTAGATGGTGGGGGTGTTTCACAAAATATAAACCAATACCAGGCAGTACTTTATTCAAATTTGTGCTCAAATTCATGTCTGTTGTAATTTTAATAATATTATTGCATTAATCAAGCAATAGGGTGTCTGTTGTAAGGGTGGGGCAGCATATGCTGTGCTCATCCCCTCTCTGATCCCTCGACTTATATCAGACTATATGTATAAATATGTGTATGTTCTTTTATAAGAAAAAGTTAAAACATATATTTGTCCTCATCTTCTTGCAGGTTTTCAGTGTTCAGTTAATCTTTATTTCAATCAGATACTACGAAAACTGAACACAAACAAGCAAATTACAACCACCTTATTACCTACAAATAAACAGACCTAGTTTTGCTATTATCTTTAGGATCAAATAGATTTGAGATTTGATATAATTAAACAGGTCTACTAGGGTGATTATTTAAATCTGATTGTAAAAATGATAAACTTTATCCATGTGTATGGTTATTATATATGTCACATTCTAGCAGTATGTCCCCCATCTTCAGTTATCAATCAACAAAATGTCAACCAACTTAAAATTAGGCCAAGAAAAACAAAAATGTGTGCTTCTCATTCAAATATTTCTGTTTTTATAAGATATTACTGTATTTATCCACCACATTGACAAAGGAAAACACAGGTGGTCAGGAATTTAGAAATTAATAAGTTTGTATCATTTTCAAATTTAATTTTATCTACTGAATGAAAATTTGGGAAGCAAAAGTTATAATGAAAAGCAGATGTGGGCTACACCCAATGAGACAACCCCCCAAAATTTAACATACTTTCATTTTTTAGACAATTTAGAACATGTTAAAGATATTTTATAGGCAATTGTTCATTGTTTAAGACTGTACTTCTACACTATCATGTCTTTTAATTCCTTGTGTTGTTGGGCTACTGTCATATTGACGTGTATCCCAACATCTCCTTTAACTCCTTTTATTCATGTATATTGTAAGTGCTAATGTAAAGATAAGATGCTAGCACTTTTTAAGGTGTGACAGAGAGAAATTCACATGAACTGTATTTCTGTCCCAACTTTATTTTCTGAGGTAACAGGCCGAAGATTATTCTAATTCACTACTTTTTTTCTCTCAGCACAAATTTGAATGATATAACAGTAAATGACGTCAGCCAAGCTTGACTTGCCTGCAGCCATTGCTTTTATCTGTATTTTTTATTGACCATTTGATATACTAGGTTAAACTTCTGTCACAAAATTTACACCTATATTCACGGCTACTTTAAGATCCGAGTTTTGTTTGTTATTTTTGCCTCCAGTGAAGGAAATGACAATACAAACTATTAGTTTTCACAGAGATACAATCATGAAAACATTTGGATTTTAAAAAATAATTGTACTTGAAGTTTAACAATAATACTATTAGTCCCGTCTGTTGTTAAATTACATGACATTTTAGAAGTGTAATTATCTTCTTTTAAACCCGAGAGAATACAATGTACAATAGCTGTAACTATAATTATCAAGGTTTTAAACTTGTACATCCTGGACAAAATGAGTATGTGTCAATGTGCTATCCAGAATAAATCTGTCAGCAGAATTGTTTCCTTTCAATAAATTGTCTACTGTTTATTTAAAGTACAGCATTGTAATGATGGAATGGTAATATGACCAGTCAATGTTCAAAATTACTCTTTGATGTCAAGGTTTACATTAACATGATTAAGAGGTCAATATTATTGAAAAATGTTTCACTGCTAATTTCAACTGTGTAAACACATTAGAATTGTTGCATTTCTGCTTAAACAGATGCAAGTGTATATTTCATGTGTAGTCCAGTTTAAAATGTAAGGTGTACGTGCATGTATTTTCTTATTTTTTAATCAATCAAGTCATTTTATGTTGAATCATTCAGATGGTTCTGGGGTGGGTTGTTTTTGTCATCTTACTGACATGTATCTCATTCTATTAATAACTATCATAAAAGTTATAGAAATTGTTATATCAATAACATTTTATACCTAAAATTTTACTATTTTTGTATATTTATTATTGAAGTAAAGTTAAAATGTACTTTTGCAAATCTAGCCTCTAAAGTGATGACCAGTTGACAACACTAATTCTCCTTGTTACACAAATTTGCAAACACCAGAAATCAGAGGTACTCTATCTACATCATGCATTTCCTTGTTGTGAAAGTGATTTCCCTTGTAAAGTCACAAATATGTCATGTATACTATTTACCTCTACGTTTATCTACAGAATTAATGGCTTGGAGAAGTAACATCGTGTTCGTCTCTGTGTACTCAACAAATACCAGTAATAACTTCAGTGATGTCTTCACTACCAAACGAAACTGAAATATAAACAAAAACGTCATATCATCATTGAACTCCTCAAATACAAATACTAGTAATAATTTATGTGATGTCTTCACATCCAAATATATATTACACAGAAATAGAAATAGCTACATTAAGAGAAACATATGTTATAAAATTCATTTGGTATACATGTGTACAAGAATATGGCTTCTTGGCCTTCACATGTCCAGCAGTAGGACACATGCTTAGAATAATTATTTTTGTGCATCTGAGCCTTGTTTCTTAATGTGGTCAAACAAGCCCCCTGGTTAAGTAAGAGAATGTGCCCTGACCATGAACGTATACAATTTTTTTTAACACCTGACCTGTTCTGACCATAAAATCTACATTAATCCTAACCAAATGATATAAATAGCTGTGAGAAAATTTATACAGATGTTTATCCTGAATAGGGTCCACATAGAAATCTAATTTTATTTTTATTTATACAAATATCTTCACTTTATATTTAACTGAACAGAATAGCTATTAGTAGCTTTTAAAGTATATATAGATATGAAATGCATAAAAAGGCTTAGCATGATTTGGGTACATAAATATTTCATAACGTGAAAACCCAAAAAAGACATACACATATGAATATCATTTATAATTAAAGTTTGGTCAGTACAAACGCTCATTAAATCCAGATGTGGTATCTATGTGCTCTGGAAGGGTGTGCACTTCCTTTCCCACAGGAGCATCAATTGTTTGTAATATTAAAGGTCAACATTTTCACATAACTGAATGCCAACAACTGATTTCCTGTCATTCAAATAATATTACACTCATTTATAGAAATATGATTTACTTGAGCTTATTTAGCTAAAGGGTGAATTTAAGTTCTTCCTGTGTTTATCACAAAGGGAATTTTATATTATAAACAAAGCCACAACAGGGTCACAGTCAGTCACAGGAACTTTCCCTGTTGTTTGAGGGCTCATCAAAGTTAGGATAAATGTGAGCCCTTCTGGTCAGTTTCCTGTTTTATGTCTGAGGTTCAGTCTGGCAAGTAAACAAAGAGTTTTCTTAAAACAAATGATATAGTTGTCAAATGTTTCTACGTTTTGTGAATTTCTTTCTATTGTGCTATCAGGTGTAACAGAATTCAACCAGGAAATATCTGAACAGTGATTGAAATTATGATTGGTCTATCATATCAATCCATATTATCTAGAGATGGACTCCTAATAGTGAGCAAAGGTACACACATGTACATTGTACCCTTCAAAAATAGGACCTCAGATAACAGAACACAAGTTGGGAGAATAGAAAATTGATTAGACAACAAACATTCTGATATTTAATAGAACAGAAAATACAGTTATCTATAAAAGTAATAAATCTTTTACTTTAATGTTTTAACACTGCCGAATAAAGATTAACAAAATTTCTCTAATTCTTCGTCAATTTATCCCTTTCTGCACCCATTGTATAAAAAAAATTTAATCAACGTGTGGTTCGTTTGATCTCAGTTCTTCATTGGTTAAAATCCGATTATGACGTAGAATTTTCTTGCTTTCCTCTGAATTTCCTATTGTGACGGCATGAAAAAAGGCGACCATGCCTGATGACGTCACATAGAAAGAACACATCTTTTTGCAGATCATTCAAAAAGAAGGAAGAAGTTTGCCTGCATATTGTTTGAAAATCATTAGAGAAACAGATTCCACCACCAAATCTCGTGTAATACGATATTTATCCACTCTCGACAGTTAAATTTTAAATATTTAAAACACTCGGCAAGCCTCGCGTTTTAAATTTGAAAATTTAACTGTCTCGAGTGGATAAATATCGTATCACACTCGATGCAGTGGTAGAATCTATATAGAACAGTGATATTTCCGTGATCTTGACTAAGGACAGCAGTTATTTGTGGCTGTCAAACATAATACAACTTGTCATAGAACACATAATATTGATGTGAACCACATTAATTTGTCATCTAACATATGTTTGGGGGGTTATCAACCTTTAAGCTTTGTCACTAATTAATAAACCACAATGTCTTTACCCTGGTTTAAATCTTATAAAGATTCAACAATAATCTTGCACTGACTTTTCAGAAAACCTCATTTATTTCATACTTAGATACCTCAAAAACCGTCTTAAGATTTGATAAATATTTTCTCTACCTTTAATTCAATTTTTTTTCTTCAGTATGTTAGTTTGAGTGGGATAGTATGTGGTTATTCATAATGGGTGTTGTATCCATGTCATAACACAATTAATTGATTTACATGATATTCATTTATAAAATTGTTAGAATTTATTATAAAAGTCAAGTGTTAAGGGTGGGAAAAAAATCCCAATAAATTCTTTAATATAAATATGGAACAAAATCATTCAATTACATTTAACATTTTTCCAACAACAATCTGGGACACAAATCTGTCACCATGATTATAAAATAATTTTCGATATTTGGAAAACATTTTTCAATTTCAAATTCATTGAATTTTCTGTTTGATAATCCTATTGAAAGTTGTGATTATCAAACTGTCGTCAATTTTCTGAGTTGGTGATCACTTATACCTGAAGTGTTGCGTCACAAATACTTTTAACGTTACAAGTAGAGATTACGATGTAATATCAATTAGGATAACAAGTCGACCCTATGTAAATACATTTTTTCTAAATCCCCTTAAGTGAAAACGTTTTTTCAAGTAAATGTCACTCCCATGTATTTCTTTGTAGTTACACATAGTAAACATAAATAAAGAGAAGTGAAAGTACACAACAACCTCCGTGTGTATCACTGGACAGAAAATAATGAAATGTTAAAACATATACAATTTTATTTGAAAACAGTTTTGATAAAATTGAATTTGTGTCTTGTCTCTTTAAGAAATATATAAGACCAAAGATTTGTTCTTTTAACTGAACATTTTTCTAGAAGGAAGTCATCTTACATCAAAAAACATGGAGACCTAAATGAGAAAACATGAGATTCCTTTGACAACCCTTTTGTCATCCCTTATTACATAAGACCTTATAAATACAGTTATTTGATGGTTTCTTCTGAGGATCATTACCAAGGTTTGAAACCTGATGAAATTCATGACTCTACAGTCCATAAAATAGATGTCCCCTACTGAAACCATAACAGTTGATGTCTATGGTAGGTCTCGCTTTGATTAGGATACCTACCATTGAGGATAATAGTGAATACAGCCATTGGACGGTCTCATTCTGATTAGGATACCTACCTTTGAGGATAATAGTGAATACAGCCATTGGATGGTCTCATTATGGTTGATAACTCCATTCATACCATCTACATACAGCATTACTTGACCCAAGGCTGAAAAATAACGATAATAGAAGTATGGGTATGAATTTATTCAAAGTGAACCAAATATTCCATTGAATAATTTGCAGTTATTGCTTTTGGAATTAAACAGAAAAGTTTGTAGGAGTTTAGAGCTTCATGTATCAGTGAATACATCAACAGTATGGGTCATTAGAATATGTTTCAACAAAAAACATTCACTTTAAAGAATTAGATGACTCAAAATGCCATGATTTAAGGGTAAATAGTTTTACACATGCATTTTTTATAACAAAAGTTTTATATTTTTTTAACTTTACAGATAATAAAAAAAACTCTACTGATTTTAAACACTACAAGAGGAAAAATTAGAAGTTTATTCCAAAACATCATCATGACTATACTAGGGTCAATTGGTGGAAACTACAAAATCAGGGTTTAAAAAATGTGTATGCTATTCTGCTTTCTTCTGATTCACAACATGAGTTAAATGTCTTTTAATTTGTGGAGTTTATATATAGTAAAGGCTGTACTTATTGGGTTTATTGTTGAGAAATGTAAACATCTGTCTGGAGTTTGACAATACTATTTTCCTCAACTAGATATATTTCTTTTCCCAAGGACAGTGAGGGGTCAATGATTGCATGTATTTAAAATTTACTTTAAGATTTAGTATCTTCACAAAATTGAAAATAAAGCAGACAAAAGAAGTCTTATTTACTTTTTAAACACACCTTTGATTACTGAAGCCTAAATGCAGTAATGAAAGCTTAAAATGCATATTACCTGATTATTGATAATATTTAAATGGCTTTATAATTCTGTTAGTCACGATTACCAATAAGAAAATTAAATTGGTAGCAAAGTTTTATTCCATGTAAAGGTATCTATAATTGAATTATAATTACAAGAAGATTGACTAATCTCTGAGTTGATATTATACCACAAGAAACCAGGTGTACATTAATATTATTTTCACAATATTATTGTTTTTCTTTTTAGAATAATTTTCATAGATGTAGGTTAATACTTCTTAATTTTGTATAGTAAAATCATTCAGGTCAGGGGATTTATATGAAAAGGACTAATCTATTTCTTTTGACCATTTCATATGAATATAAGGTGATATGAGGAAAATATCAGTGAGACAGCACCCAAACAACACAGAAAAAATTCAGCAACCAACATTATCAAAAGCTCATCTAACTTAAGCATAAAGACATATGGGAAATAGCTTCTTCAGGGATAACAACTCAGAACAGATATATCTATTACGTAATATGTCCCACGCTAAGAGGATGAGATTACTTCAGTGCAAACTAATATACAGTAACTTTAATAGCTTACTAATGTAACAGCTATCCAAGAAGATATTGGTAAAAATAAAGCACTGAATAAGATGTTTATCACAAAGCAGAGATTGAGAGTTGGGTTGGAATTTGACTATACACCTGTAGTTGACAATTTTTTGCAGGGTCTTGCAATCACAAATGGACTATAGACAACATGTACGAGACTATATGACTCAATGCATTGACAATAGGAATACCACTATCAGCTATAGTAAAATTTACTTATATGCCACCATTAAAATCACCATGGCTTGCCAGTTTACAAAACAGTGGAAACTTAACTACTACCCCTTTAAGCTTCCAATGCCAGTAATTGGCTTACGTTATGATGGCATGACACTTAACCCCTAACGAGAGGAATTGTGCTTGATTTTCATATGAAGGAGACATGTTATTTTTTATCAGTATAATCTGGAGCTGGCATGTCAGTAACTGCTAGTAGTCCTTTGTTATTTTATGTTGATTATTGTCATTTTGCTCAGTTTCTTCTGGTACCTATTAAAACATCAGACTCGAACTTCTTTAAAACTGAGTTTTATTGTGCGTATTGCTGTGTGTTTGTTTATTCAATATTGGCTAGAGGTATAGGGGATGGTTGAGATCTCAAAAAACATGTTTAACCCTGTCACCTTTATGCGCCTGTCCCAAGTCAGGAACCTCTAGCCTTTGTTAGTATTGTGTGTTTTATAATTTTAGTTCATTTATATGTTTCGGAGTTATCATTTAGGGGCCAGCTGAAGCCCACCTCCTGGTGTGGGATTTTCTTGCTGCATTGAAGACCCATTGGTGGCCTTCGGCTGTTGTCTGCTCTATGGTCGGGTTGTTGTCTCTTTGACACATTCCTCGTTTCCATTCTAAATTCTATTATGCTAATTAACCTGCTGTCTTTCTGATAAATACACTTGTAACAGTTGAAACATTATTTCATTACATTATATTCTTTTTTTAAATGTGCAGTGAAGTACTTTATGTAATGCACATATATAGCCATTTATTACATAATGTACATCATTGCACACGAAGGAAAATTAAAATAAAATGACAACAAAGGGACACTGTTTAACACATTTGCATTAAAATGTTATTTATCAAATAGACAAACAACAAACACCTAGAATAAATCCTTATATAAGAATTTTTCCTCTGAAATAGTGTCAAGATACCTTTATCATGTATTATTTTGACTTCTGATTAAACAAATTGAAATAGTGATTGAATTACATTTGACAGGACAAAACTGCAGTTGTTTACATCTGTTATTGCACTTCAAGAGCCGTTAACTTACTCTACCCACAAGTTGTGCTTAACCCTGCATTTCATTGCAGAAAAAAAAATTCCGAGTCATTAACATTTATCTTGGATGTTTAAAAGCACCATTCTTTTTTTATTTGCTGTTTCTATAAAATATTTTGGAAACTTCAGGTGACATGGTTACTAATGCTTGTTAACAGGGAAAAAAGGGGTGAAAATGTGATTGGTTTACTTCCGGTGATGGTTTATTTTTATTTGAAACAAAGATAAATTCTGCACAATTTTTTGAAAAGTGCCAATTTAACAAAGACTAATAGGGGAAAATCAATGGTGGTACTACTCCTTAACTTGAGTTGTTGGTTGTCGTTTACCCATACCAGTAAAACAGTCTTACAACAATAACAATGTTCTCATTCCCACCCCCTCCCATTCATACTACATTAAGTTCTATTTAACCTCCCACTTAGTACTCTATTAAGGTACATTATATTTAATTGAAGTGTAATAAAAGGCCATAATGTAGTGACCAGCCTACCATTACAACTTACACTTAACGTTCTGACTAGGTGACGTCAAGAAACTCAAGATCTCACCTAAAGACAAGACGATCATCACTTAACCACAAGAATATTTGTTTTTATTGTGCATATATTCTTTACCCAGAGCTAATTGTGGTTAGCATGACTAAGCATTTTGGTTTTATTTTATTTGCTATTATATATTTATAAAATGGTGTTATTAAGTGTGTTGATTCTTAGACTATTCCTTACTGTATATTACGGACATAAAGTTCTTCACATGGAATGACCAGTGAGACTTAAATGTCTAGGACTAGGTTTTTAACTTCTCAACTATCAATTAGCTATATTCATCTTTGTAAAATAAAATAAAGTTGTATCAGACATTTTTAACAAAGAACTAGCCAATTAAAATAAAACTGATTAGGAAGAGTGTTATAAGAGTTCTAATTCTACAAACAGGAATTTGTATGAATTATTTATAGGAAAAAAAACATAGTAAGCAAAAGATGACAGGTCTTTCTTAAGTTGTATGTGTTATACATAGTTTCTAAAGAGGTCAATGGATTGTCAACAATGATCCTTTTAAGCCCACTACAAAATTGAAGTGGATGAGGAAATGAATTATGTTACTAATCTTAAAACAAACAAATCCTTAGGAGGTCAATTAAAATTTTATAAACAGTGACTCAAACCATCATTCCCTCATTAAAAGTATGGCAACCTTTCAGTCTCCAAGAGGATAACAGACAATGAGATCAGTCATATCTGTCTTTTGAAGTTACCAACCTTAAGACACAATATTTAGATATACATTTGTATTTATTTTTATACTTAAAATCCTTTAAACAAAAGTCTGCATTCAAATCTTAAAAATGATCATCAGCCAACATCTTCAAATAAACAAAACAAAAATCATGAGAAATGACCAGGCCTTGCAGTAATAAGAATTTCAATCATAATTACTGTACTACCTCAGAAACCAACTAATCAAAATACTCGATTTAATGTTTGGAGTACAAATTTAGTAATCTGAGTACTGATTTAAGTTTTATGACCAAGGGCCCTGGTGCCATTGTATTCGAGTATATTTTGGAAAAGAATGAATGCTGTTGCACTTTTTCATAATGATGCTGTTTAATTTCAAAATTAAATGCAAGCTTTTATTGTGAATCTTCCACAAATTGCCATAATACAGGATAAATTAATGCAGATTCTTTACATTTTGAAGGGGAAAACTAATTGTATGAGTTATGGTCCCTGAACAAGATGGGCTTTACATAGTTCAAAAGTAATTTTGATTTTTCTGAAGATTTTCACTAGAACATATGATATAATAGTGGTTTGTGTTGAAGACAAAATATGGTTTGTCTTTAAGCAGTTTTGATTCAAATTCCAAGACTATTTCAAGTAATTTTTTATAAGCATGTATATCATTTTTTTTTTTTTGGGGGTGGGTGGGGAACAGCTACCTCATATGTTGGATCAGCTAAGAAGGAGAAAAAAACAATCAAATGACGATCATAAAATGAGAACAGTTAAGTCCTTCTAATAATTAGTCCATGAATATCAGGAACATATATTAGGAAACTTGGCATAACAAAAGAGCTGCATTGGATCGAAATCTACCTTATGCAAGTGGTGATAGTTACATATACATGCATTTCATTATGATTGATTAGGTAATAAAATTCTGACGTTTAAGGTAACTTGTTGGTCTGAATTTAAAGATTCTTACATAATATCCAAATTTAGAAACGGTTCAAGAACTTCACCCGCAAAATTGTAAAAAGTGAACCTACACTTCAATTTATCTTAAGCAAAATAAACCCCAACAAAAAACCATGGTATAACTGAATTTTTACAGCATTTTAAGTATATAACAACAATTTAATTATACATTTTATAGGTTTAAATTGACTTTGTTATTTTTAACTTCATGATTTAGAAAAAAATATTTATGACACCAAAGAAAGTGTTGACATAACAGGCTTAAACTATTTATCAGGTGCTATGTAAAGCACACTTCAACACATAATCCAAATACCACTGATGATCAGGTGTAAAAATAAACACTCGCCATAAATTTCTCTGTTATACGATTTATTGTTTGAACATTACCATAAAGTTTTGTCCATATAGGTATTGTTATAAGTTTTATATCCGTCCATATTTTTACAATATAAAGCTGTATATAAGTACGAAATTAAATATGTATAAACACTTAGTAGGAAAACATCACTAAATCAATATTACGGTTTCTCTTTATTATTCAGGGGGTCAATGTCTTCTCATAGATTTGATTTACCAATAATTATTAATGGGACATTAAATATTACAGTGTTGGTCCTTATTCTTGGTTTTATTTTCAGTGACTACTTTTACTTTCTGGCTATAAAACGATCTATATAGAAATGAATTGTCTTTTTACTACTTTTTTACAAACAAACAAAGACTGTTTTATTAAGTGTGTAGATTACAAGAATTGTGATTATTGTATTCTTGTTTTCTTTAAATGATCCCTTATTCAACAGAGGCTTCAGAAATACTCAGACTGATACTCATAATCCTTGAAAATCATCTTCACAGATGTACTTCTTTATAAATTTCTATGTGTATAATATATTGACAATGCATTTGAAAACATTTGTCTCAGAATCAGCAAGCTTTACACCCTTAACAAAAACAGTCCAATAAATATCTCATCATATATTAAACTTCTTAATTCTTTGAAGTATATGAATTATATGCATGAAAATGAAATATTAGTTACTAAGTAAACATTTTTAAAAATTCCTACTTAAGATGAAATATTTATAATATGAATCAATACCTGTGTAGTCAGGTAACAGTTAGATACTATTGACATTCTTGATCAATTTGCAGGAAATAAAAACTGATACTATCGGGATAAATATATGACTATTTATTTGTGATTTCTAATTTATCAACATTTTTGTTTATTTAAAATGGGCAGAGTACAACTTAACTAAATTTAATTTATAAGATGTCATGAAGATCCCACCTGTTACTTTTGCAAAATCATTTTCAAATGCAGGAACTTGTTTATTTAAAATGGGTAGAGTGCAAAACTTAACTAAATTTAATTTATAAGAGTTCAAGACGACCCCCACCTCCCATCGTTTTGCAATATCATTTTCAAATGCAGAAATAGTCCCTATCATATTTAAATTAACCAGGATGTTCTCAACAAATAATTAATTGATGTAAAATTGTACCCTAAAGGTATCCAATAAAGTACATAAATTGATATTCCATTACCACAAAATATGTCCATTATACACAAACAATGGAAAGAATACACCATTCACAAAAAAAATGCAAAACAAAAGTAATTATATACAACACAGATGTATAAAGAAAAGAATGCTTTTGTGTAGGTTTGCATTTTTAAAAAATATGCAGTTTTAGTTATATTTATTTTGTTTCAGTCTAACCAAATGAAAATATATGGATTACACATATATAAATAATATGAATCCAGACAAATTAGAAATTTTGTAATCTGTTTAAGTAATGAAAATAAATGCCATTTCAGCTGTTACCAATACATGTATGAATGTGATTTAAATTAGAAAGATTTTGGAATCTGCTAAACTAAAGGTAACAAAAATATCACAAATACTTGCATTTATAATGATAACATTATCAAGCTTGATTTAAGAACCTGTTAAAGGAAAGCTGACACTGTTCCTGACTTTTAATTAACACTCAAGGAAGCAAAATAAAATTCTACCTCTTAAAAACAGTCAACTGATTTTCCTTGTTGCCTTCAATGTTTCTAGGCTTTGCCAATTGGGCCTAATAAGCAGGCAATATATATCCATGGGCAAATCATAACATATAAAACTTACCACGAAGTATATAGTTCTGATAATTCTGGTCAGCCTCAGATCCAACTTTGATAAGACAATCCAATCCATCATTGTTAACAAACTCATGAACCAAATCTTTATCATCCTGAACAAGATATAATGAAGAATTTCTAAAGTTAGTCAAATTGTCATTTCTATTATACGGTATGATCAGTACCATGTTTTAAGGAAAACTAAATTTCAGCAATTTAATCTGTGCATTGTTTAGACATGCATTAAATGTGTAGGATAAATTCATCAAGGTTTTTGACCAACAGAGTTATTTTGAAAAGGAAGTGCATTTATGAATGACTTAGAGAAGGAATTTCTAAAACTGTTACAAACATGTACTTGTGAATGAATATTTCAAACTGAATCATATACTTTTTTTTCAATTTGATGTGGTTTAACTAAAAACCTCATTCTGAGGAGTTATAACTATAAAAAGATTTTTCAAACATGTCTGTGGTTTGCTTGAAGTGTCCTACATGCAGAAGTCGAGTCCCCATTCAATATCACAAGAACAGCCATTGTTTGAAGAGGCATGATCACAGCATCTGTACATATCAACCTGAAGACTTTGAGTCTCCTTGCTCTGAATTCATCCATTCACCTCAGGTGGTCTTCAAGTCCTTAAGGTAGATTACTATTTTGTTTCATGTCATATAATAAATGCTAAACACTAGTCTAAAGTCTGGGACTTCGTGTCAACCACTGGAATGCATGTAATAATGTCTTCATAAGATATATGTTAATTATACCTGAAATATCTGCTTGAGTGAAAATAAAGCTCTTCTAAGTTCTCTTCCATGTGAATTCAGAAGTTTTTCTGAAATAAAGAGAAAAATTGAAAAATAAACTGTTTCAAAAAAAATTTTTAAACTTTAAAATTCATATAAAGTGAATGGAGCAGGATAAGATCATATACACTAGATGTCTTTCCATCTATATTATGGCAGTCAGTTTTTATTTGTGAATGAACTTAAACTGTAAAGCTGGAGTGGTGGGATAGAACCTGACAGACCTTAAGCAGAATAACTGACAACCGTAGTCAATTTAAACCAGAGTAGCATCTTATTTTCATCTTACTTTAGACAGCAGAAGTAAACATGTTTACTGTTGTCCAGTAATTTCACTGAATATACCTAGACAGTCTCAAGAACAGGTTAAAGGTCAATACAGATAATCAAATGACAGATTATCTTCACAGGACTCTTTACCCCCTAGCTTGACTTGGTCTTTGTCTTCAGATAGAACATCTTTCTGAACATCCTTATCTTATTGTTTTGAGTCAATGACATCAATACACCTATTACACAGTTGAATAGATGTGACAATCATTTTATTTCCTACTGACCATTTTTATAAGAATATTCATCTTACAACTAGTATAGCATTGGACAAGGGTATTTACTTATCATAAAATATTTAACATTCTTAAGGAGACAATTTAACAACAATTATCAGTGACCTGGGTAAAATTATCAATACTAGCTATAGATTTAAAACTTCAAAACCAAAATGAACAATAAAAGGAAATGTAAACTTCAGCTTGATTAAGGTTGAAATGTCGTTAAGATTGCCCTCAAGTGTGGTATGTGTCAACACTTTACTGCAATAATCACTGTAGTCTAAAGATGTTAGTAAATAAATTGTAATACTTATCTACATATATATATTTGATTTAAGGACCAAGGACCTAGGTATTGGATAATTAGGTACACTGTTAGGCCAATTATCTGCTGTATTGAACCAAACCCATAATGTTTCACTCTTACTTGACACTTCTATTGTAGTCCAAAAATGTTGTTAGCAAACAATTTTGTTGAAATGATATTGACTTTTTACAGAAAATGTCATGATAAAGCAAAATATTTTCCTTTTCTAAACTTAGAAATGTTTTCAAAATAAAAAGCTGACACATTCCATAAAATGATTATGACCTGAGAGAATAACTTGAACAAAACAAAGTCTCTCCCCATTTCATTTTTTTTTTTCTTTTTGGTTCTCAGATATATACAAAGGGTACAACAACAGTCATATTATAATATATAATCTTATTAAATGTGCATTTCAACATCAATTTCTGTACTGTACACTTGTAAAGTGCAAGAAAGCACATGTAGCTCAAAAATCAATAAAGGTAAATTTACAGATAAAATTATTCAAATTCTCATAAAAGTATGGATCAAGGAAAAAGTTGTTAGATGTTTTGATAAATATGATGTAATATATGTTATAATTCTGACATGGGATTTGACAAATTATGTTGTAAAACAGTCTGGTCTGTTTAACAATTAAAAGTTATGGTTGACTTGTAAAACAGCTCTTTACTAAAGTAACCATGAAATTCAAAGTTCTGTTGCAATTGTTCAAATCTAATTAGTACACTTAGTAGTATTTCTTAAAGAGAATAATCTAATACAGAATCATACTACATGATCTTGTCCTGTATACCAGAATTTTTTTATTATTTTTTGGGGGGGGGGGGGGAGAGAGAGGTGGGGGACAAAATTAGTTTCACTTGCAGAATTGTGAATAATGACCAAATCAGGTATTTAATTTTAATGTTGCCATTGGGATATCTTTTAAAATTGTAAATTTTTGAATAAATTAGATAAATAAATAAATATACATTCATACATGTATTCAAATCATGTTACAGATCTTTATTTAAATGTAAATTTCATATGCAGTCGTCTAGTTTTCAAAAGCTGACAACATAAAATTTCTATTCCTTTTGATACTAATACAGTACTGTCAAGACTATTATGAGTCATCCACTCCATAAAATACAACAACACGAAAAATCAACAAAAAGTATGTATATAAAGAAATTAAATATATATCTATTCAATATATTTAATACTACACCTTTGTTGACAAAGAAATCTAGTATACATGATTTATCATTTTTTATTGACTTTCAAATATTTATTACACCTTAAATGCAGTAACTATTTAACTAGTAGACACAATAAGAAATTCCAATTATCTAAATAAGGTATGATTGGGTTAATATTTATACTTAGATTAGGGTTTAAAGACCACCATAAGACAGTTATACACTCAGATACCTTTTATGATCAGTGACAATGAAAGCGGAATACCACAGGGGGTTATGTCATAATCAAATAAGCTTTAAAAACACAGTTAGATAACATTAAAAAGGATTATATCATTTGTTTACTTGTTGACAAACATTGGAATGAGGATTTAATGGAGAAAGAATTCAATAAATTACTTCATAGATATCAGATACATCATTAAATAACAAGTTGACAATATTATAAGTAGAAATACAGCAATATTCACCAAGGATGATGTTATGAAAAATCATGTATATACTATCTACACAGTTTTCAATATTAAATGGCATTCTTAAAAAAAAGTAGTAGTTTTGTTCATGAGATCCGGTCCCCCTAAAGTCAGTTTATCTATTTTACATCCCGCACTAGTAAGTCAAAAAAGTTTGGGATGCTTGACTTTGAATAGGACTTCACTTTAAACCAGTAGGATTTTTTTTACACTACATGTAATATTTTGTCATCAGATGTATGTTTAAATATCAAATAGACCCTCTAGCAAAAACTATCATATTCCTCTTTTTATATACGTGTATATCAATAAAAGTTAACTTAAAAAATATTACGCTGATTTCAGCATTTTGTTTATATCAATATTTGCACATTGAACATGTTGATCATTATTACAAACTGAAATTAGTTTTATATATGAGTCATTCTGAATCATTTTGGAAACATTTTATAATATACTATATGTACATGTAGCAGATTGTCTTCACAGGGAAAATGGAGTTAAAGAAAAAGTATGTGTATAATCAATCAAATTTCTTTTACAAGGTCATCAAGTCCTCAGTATATACTAATGGATATGATTATTTACCTATAACTGCATGTACTCTTACTGTCAGCTGTGTTCTTAAAATCAAAGCATTCTTCCTTCTAAAAATAGAAATTAAACATAGATTTAGGTACATGTGCTAGAATATTGCTACGGCATAGCCAAGTGCTTATGAAGTTGTGATGAGGGCCTGACTTATAAAATTTCAAGTTTGACAGTACATGTATCAAATATAAGTCAAATAGGTCATTTATAATACATAAGATTCCTGATATTCAATTACCATGATTACAGTGTGACTAAAAAAAATATCAAACTAAGGCTTACACAGAAAGTCTGAAGAAAAATCATTTGCTGATTAAATTCTAATACTGCAGACAAAATTTTGAATGAAATTATCTTTTTAATCTTATCATGTCATATTTTCAAACAAGTTTCAAAAAGATAATATATGTAAGATTTTTTTTTTCAAATTGTACATGTACAAATGTATAAATTGAGTTTTTATTAAAATAAAGACAATGAGCTATAGATGTAAATCTAAATTAACTTCTAACCAATATTGTATACATTAAACGGTAATTGCAATATTGGCTAGAATATAAAACGGAAGGATACAGGAAATACAGGTTGTATTTAGTAACATGTCTGATAACATGAGATAAACTTTACATGAATTTGTTGATAAAACCACATGCTGCTTAAGATTTGTACCAGCCTTTTAACATTCTTCAACAAAACATGCATTTCTGATCAAAGTTTGGATTCACTCAAAAACAAACCAGAGGCTTATAGTGGTCGATGTACAATTTCATCTCTTATCTGATTAATAATATTACTAAAAGCTATGATGTCGCCTAACATTTGTCTTCTGATAACTTTTAAGAGCTAAAGATAGCTTACTGCTTTTTGATGCAAATATCATAAATCTGTCAGTGTGGGACATTTCATATTAACTATCAATATTTTTGGATAAAAACACACATGTATATCATACATGTCATACAGCTTGAATGTGGAACAAACAGCAACTAATCTTAACAATAAAAAATAACCTAAATGAACTAAAGTATTAATTGGACACCAGTGACTGCAAGAAACTAAAACATCACTACCAATACTACCAACTCGTTGGACAGTTAACACACATAAATTTACAATTGATGTAAATAAAATATTGGCTAGAATATATGTACAGGAACAAAATGTGGATGGGTTAAGCTACTTTTATCTGCATGAAAGTTTTTCTATCTCATTCCCTTCATTTATGACCATGATAATAGAATTCCAATTTCAACTGCATTATCTTGGAAAAGCTTGTTATGTTATACATGTTATATCCTGCAAGACATTCAGCACCTTAAATGCAAAATGAGTTTAGGACAAAATGGGTGTCTTGGTTTTACTATAGACTAGTTTTAATCAGGTTAGAAATTGTCAAAATGTTTGTTAGTTGATTGAAGCATTAAATCACACTCTGTATGAAACTAAATGAAATCTATACCTAAATTAAAAAAAGTTATTAAAAATTTCTATAATTTATATGTACTAATCATTGTGCAAACTTCACTCGGTTCCCATTCTTTTGATTGCTACAAACACCATTTGTAAATCCTTCAACTGATTCAAACCTCAGAAAAATTTCACACCATTCAAAATTGTAACAAATTTTAAGTTGCTGCCTTTTTAAGGAGAAACAAAAAATCTCCAAGGCAACAAAAACATAACATACCTTTCTTCACTTTGTTTTTTGCTACAATAAAATTATATTACAGTATACATTGTAGACTGGTACTGAGAATAACTTCAGGGGAAATAATCTATATCTTAACTGAGCTTACTACATGTACCAGAATTACACAAATTTATGTTTTTGTAAAAAAGGAACACAAATTGAAATAATTCTGATATCCTTAAAACCAATTGTTCTAGAGAGAGATGGACAGTTAAAAAGGAGTTCAAAAATGAATATTCAACTTTAAAGGTTAACCTACATAAACATGAACATGTATTTTTATCTAGGGAAAAAACAACACAACCATAAACCCTGAAACAATGTGTCAGTGTCTTGCTTAAACATGCAGCAAACTCTACTGTGAATAACGTTGTATTTTGCCACAAATAAATAACAGTGGAATATGAATAAAACATATCACTGTATTGAAACACACGTAAATGCCATGTTACAGCATTGTAAGTTATTTCTTTAGTTTCTTTCAGCAATTTTGAATGAAAGTTAAGCACAAAATGTATACTAGACAAAGACAAGTACTAACATTATAGTATACAAACTAGATATGTACATTTATACAACAAAATAATGTCAGCTTTAAATTTATTTCTTAATTAATCTAAAATTTCTAACATTGCATGACGACGACAAACACTTATTGTTAATCTCATGACATCAATGACAGACATTTTGGGCAAATTGATGAAATTTAAAAACTTACTGGTCTTGAAATCCTTCTAACTCTTCTCCTTGTTCATCTAAATTAGTTTCAAGATCTAAATAAGTTCCGTAATCTCCCTGAGTTCCATTGTGATAGCGGTAAATTTGTAATGCACAGTCTTCAAGCTGCAAAAAAAACAAGCTCATATAGTTTCAAGAAAAAAACAAAATAAAGTATTATGTACACCACCAAGTGGTACAGTTTACCAGAAACTTTAATGCCATCCTATTCATTAAAAGTAACAATTTTCAAGAATCATCAAAAGACTTTTCTATATATATATAAACCAATTTTAATTTTAGGAATATTAATACAAAGGACCTTCCATTTGTCAATGTACATGAATACATGATGTATGTAATTTATGTATGAAAAAAAATTTGAATAATTGTCACATGCATCACGTGCATATACAGTTACATGTAACATGTGTAATGGCATGTTCCTTCATTGTTGCAATGGAACAAAACCAAGGAAAATATAAATGTTATTAAAGGTGTACAATTTGTTTTTCCTTGAAATTTGTCTAGACTGGCAGGTTCTCTCTAAACTTTGCTGTAAGACCAAATGCAAAAGACTCATTGGAAAAAAACTTTATTTTTTATCGTTGCTAATTGTTGATTGACATTTCACAAAATGTATATATATTAAAACTAAATACCCAACACCCATGAAAGATTGCTGTTTCATATCTTATTTAGACAAATAAAAGAATAAATTAACTAATCAATAAACATGAAAAATGTCAATGAAAATATTCGCCCACCCTTCCTTCATTAAATATCCTGATTATGTGCATACAATCCAAGTCTTCACTGCATTAAATGTAAAAAAAAACTGTGTCTGCACCATTGATTACTTGAACTGTTCTTAAAACTTTCAAATAAATCTTCAATAAATTGTTCAGTAAAGACATCTACATGTACTTTGCACATTGTACATACTGTGGCAAGATAATGATTTTAAGTTTTTTCATCTTAGCTACGGAACTGCTGTTTACTGGTACAGTCTGTATACAAGATACATAGTGAAGATGAGAACAGTTGGCCTCTTGACATGGACACACATAAAATGGCCAAAATTGGCAAAAATTTAAAAAACAATATAATACATAAATGCATTTACATTTTTTGTGTTCATAAAAAGACATCAAGAGTTGATGATTATGATGCATGATTTTTTTAACATCCAGTGGCAAGTTAAATGTATATGCTATATGAATATACATCCTGTTAGACTGACACACTGGAACCGATTTTTAAGGTGCTAGCTCTCAAGGTATTCAACTGTCACTGCATTCATTTTGCATAAAGTTTATATAATTACTTCTTATATACATAATTGTACATATATAAATAAAGATATTAGAAATATAAAATCCCCATTATGAGCATGATGAAGTATAAAATACACATTAAACAATTTTTATAAGAGGGTCCTAAATTAGGACAAAAGGGAAATAAAATGACAATTTCAACAGGAAATTTTTTTTTTTTTAAAGCTTACACATTGCCTTTTTACCAATTTGCACAAAACTAATTTAAAAATAATAGTAATTAACGAGCTTCAAGCATAAAAACATGTGAAATAAAAATTGCAATCAAGTTGTATGATCCTTTACCACCCCTGATAAGATTCACATGAAAATCCAGCAACATACATGTATATAAATTTGTATGAGCATTTTTATCTTTAATTGTTGTACAAGCTTCCTTGACTAAGTTGATTTAAAAGGCTGCCACTATGTATGCATGTACATAAATCCCTTCGTTATTCAGAGCACCCCTCGGCTTGAGAGCTGCGACAGAATAGTGGAATCCATGTACATGCCCTATCAGGATTAATGGAGATGTATCACTAACATATTTATAACAATACATTGTGTAGTTACAAGGACAATCCCCATCCCAACACAAAGGGAGTGCTAGACACTGGAAGTCTGTTATTATGGTGGAGGAAGCCAAAGTACTGAGAGAGAACCACTAGGTTGTTTGGAGGGAACAGACAAACCGAAGAGATATCAGCAGATTGATCTCCAGGTCAAGGTCAGGGGCTACTTTGACCAACGGAGGCCACCAAATTACCCATTCTAGTTCATAAACTCCGGTCTGGGATCCAGAGATGTGTGTGGGAGGGTGAAAATCACCCTTCTGATGTATTGAATTATTCTGTGTTTTCATATTTCAAGTGAAGAAAATGTTGTTTGCATTATAATTATTTAGTACTTTTATTATCATTGTAATCCTTATAATAAAGCCAACTTATGGTTGTTGTTTTTTTTGTCAATATATACCCCAACTTAAGTTCTAGAGCTCAACAAAATGTTAAATTAAGAATAAGATGTGGTATGACAATTTCCTAATTAGTAATTCCGAATAATTTCACTTATTTGACCTTCAAATCAGCTGTTAGCAGAAACATTGAATGTTGTTGCCGAGTTTGAAATAAATTGATGCGTGTTGCACTTCGGTATCATATGTAAACATTTTTTACCTGAAATCAAGTTCACATAAAAGCTTTACACTTACTTTGTGAGGAGCTCCTAGCAATTTATGAACCCCTCCAATCTGATTTTGTAAAGGAACAGTCCTGTGAAATATGAATGAAGGCGGTCGAGTCGGTTCTGGAAAGTTAGTACTTGAAAATGGATCTGTATCATCCAAATATTGCACTCGACACTCGAAGGTCGCCATGTTTGATCTTATTGATTCCTCATGTTTGACCTCTGAACTCGATTGGTACTGTATTCCTGCGCCGAAACGCATTTTTTTTTAATTCCAAATGTTGAAACAACAGATTTTTTTAAAACAAGCTTATATGCGGTCTGTTTCACAAGAGATATTTCCAATTAATGACCAGTTATCAAATGTTGTATCATATGTCGGTGTGTTTTCATGGATTGTTTTGATGATTCATTTTTTCACCTGTGCGGAAGAACAGGTGTTTAGCAGACGACATTTACCTGGACCACATTACCTGTGATTTTTTTATAACATGTTAATGTGTTACAGTGTGTGTTATTAACTAATTAACACATTGCATGTTAAGCTAATGACGGTTATTAACCCACTTTTCCGAGTACATCTATAGAAATTCAACTTATTTAAAATAGGCTATTATATTTTCAACGTAGGGTACTAGAAAAAAAAGTGCTGAGACCACTAATGATGTTCTTTACCCTATTGTTTTCTTCTCTCTTTCACAAAATTGGTCGTAGATCAAACAAGGGTATAATTAGAAGATACCTATTATGATCTATTATTGCTTTTATTTATTCGGGTGGATCAGCAATACGATTTTGTGATTTTTAAAGCTATGATTACTCTGAATAGACTTAACCTGAGGTAATATGATTTTGTTTCAGATATTTTAGAATCTGTTTCTATTACAATATTTTCAACACTTACCACTTAATGTCTGTATGGTAAAAGTACAGATAAACAAGTTTCCAACAGATCTTAATCTGTTTTTAAATGTGAAATGTGAAAGCCAAGGATTTGTATAGTTAGACTTTTACTATACAAATCCTTGTGAAAGCTAAACTTGCAAATAAAAAATATGAGCATAAAAAGGCGTTACGAAAATTTTGGGATGGGTAAACAATCGTGTTATTAAATGATCTGAAAAAATCCTAGGATGTTTTCAAATAACTATTTGTCAATAAATCGAACATAATTTTAAAGTAAAAAATATCAATAAGAACGCTAGAATTACCTCCCTTACAATACTAAACTAGATGATCGTTTCTCCAAAATATATGATATTGCAAAAAAGATTTGTATGAAATACCAAAAGTATGAAAATTCAATGAAAACCATGCATTTTATTCAGAGATGTTTTTTTTTCTCTCCCCTCCCCTCCCCTTATCTCACATCCTCCCTTCCATCTTCTTTCTCAGCCACACACATTTGTGAGCAAGTAGAAATATACTAAGATGTATGGAAATCTCAAAATATCATTTACAAATAAGACAGAAATTTAATTTTTATAATAATACGTTCCATATTGAGAATGGGGAAACCCTTACAGCTATGAAAAGTGTGCTAAGAAAAATCGAATTAAAGATTTGCTGAAACCACCAAAATCATTTGCCAGAATAGGACAAGCAAAACTCCATTAGTTACGGTGGCTGCATATTTGGAAGTTCTATACAAAACCACTTACTATAGTTCGAGAGATTTTTGTATGGAGATACTAAACATTATCATTTGTAATGACAAAATTCATGTTTTTCGATTGACAGCTTTAACTTTACTTCGGTAATAAATAAGAGACGTAAAATGCCGTTAAGTAATTTAAAAATACTAGTATATTTTTATAAACAATAAATAAGATTTAAAAGGAGATACGTGCCGTGGTTTTCGATTTTCTAACGGGAGATGAGGGTGGACGAACGGACAGACGTATAGCAGCCACTCAAAGGGTGTAAATTAAAACCTCATTTTTTTGTAGTTACCTTTTTAACATCGACTCCACTGTTCTCCAACATCTCATTGGCGTTTGGGAAACCTTTAAAGTTGACATCGCTGAAACCTTCTGTTACCCCTGGTACACGTATGACTTTTGAAGTTGGTTTCTCACACAGTCGTAAGATATCTGTTATTGTAACTGATCCCTTATTCTTCTTTAACGTATCCCACATCTGCTGTCCAGTCTCGGAAATTGTTCTTCTCATCCTGGCATCTGGACCCCTGTTTGGTGGAGCATTAGTGATGGCAGCCTTCTTGGGGGTGATTGGTGAATCAATATCAATCAACTTCTCTTCTGCATTAAAATCACAAATTTCGCATAAGTTATAATTTGTGGCTGAAAAACTTACTTCCGCAAACCATTCTAAGCATTCACTTTCTGAATAGGACATATCGCTCTAAACTAAACATTCTCAAGAAGTTTTTGATTTATTTAGTTTAATATACATTTAGCGATTGAATCCAATTTAAAGTTAATAAAAAATGCACATTTTGCCATTTAAACTTAGAACGAAAAATGCGTTTTATCTCGCATTTCTGAAATTCGAGTATCGTCATATCTAGTCAAAGTTCGCAACGAAACATTTTGAATTTTATCTGTCAGCGAAAGATGAAAATCATATAATTTTGCATATCCTTGTAATAAATTATTGAAAAGAATCAACACAAAATTATGCTTATCCTTGACAAAATTCCACACATAAAAAGAAGAAAAAAGTGTAGGTATAACCTTGGCTAGCATAGAATACTGCAATAAAATGACGGGTTCACTTATTTCTTTTCTTGTTTCTGGTTATAACTTGTCAAGATTTATCATACACGTATATATAGCACTGCACTGAGAAAGCCCTTACTAATCATAATAAATATATCATTCTACTTACTTAAAATACAATTATACTCATAACATACATTTCTTTTTTCCAGTGCTTGGTTTTGTTTTGTGTGTTTTTGTCTTACTATTACATTGTTTAAAAATGCGCATATCTCACACAACTTATCCGACTACATTGAAAGAAAGATACAGGATTGGCACTTGCAGTTTATTAAGAAAGTATTTTTAAATTTATTTCAGTCAATTCGAAAAAGCATCTTTTACCACAAATGCGAATTTTAACAACGAAGAACCAGGCTACATGTATGTCTGTATATTTTTTTACTCTACACAAAAATTTCGCAACTAGCTGCTCGATATAAAGGATATATATATAAAATATGCCACCTATATTTTATTTTAACCCCTTTTAATTCATGCAAATGAAGAAGGGATCAATATTCTCTTTATTGTGAAACTTTATACCTATGAAAGTCTAAGGAATCTAATTCTTTGGAGCCTTTATGCATCGTAACCGCGCAAGAGCTAGACCTTGTGGTTTGTAAACGTCCTGTATCTTTCTCCCATGATGCTTTCACACGATAGAATGAAATTATCATTAATACTTTTTATCAAATAAAACAATACATAAACTCAAAAGCACTTAAAACAAGCTGAAATTAACGAGAAACTTCCACTTAAAAGATAGTTAGCGGAAAGATCTGGATGATGGTCATTGTGCTGTTTAATCATCCGCTAATCGCGTCGCGTTTCCTAAGAATTGGAGATCACAAATCTCTGTTTCAAGAAGGACAGAGTGGAAACATTCTATTTCAAATGTCGGTTCATGAAGGATAAACTGATCAATTCTATGTATAAATGATAAATTATAATTTAAAAAAAACACAAAAACAAAAAGATATTATTTGTGTAAAAAGATCAGTTTATCCTTTGAAGTATAGACGTTACAAGACTGGGGCTAATAGAAAGGAAGTGCGTTAGTGAGGAGATACTGCGTTATCAATAATTCAAGATAACTTGGTCCAGGTGAGCCTCTATTTGAAAATTCCCATATCATAGTATACATTAACCCGAATAATTCAGTCCCTCCCCGTGATCGACTCTCCCACTCGCGTTAATGTAGCCATCGCAGAGCAGTGGAATATAACGACTGGATTATTCGGGTTAAGTATACATTAGATTTCCCTATATTTACATTAATAAAACTGCAACGGATCAAAATTTAAAAAAACAATATATATATTGTTCATATAAATGTGTCTACAAATAAACCATCTTAGCTAGTTTTCTAAAGCTTTTGATTTTAGTCCTTTTGGGTAACTTGGTGTTTGTTTGTGTCTTAGCTAGATAATTTCTGTGCGTTACAGCGCTTTTCGAATTGTAAAGACATTTACCTCCCTTTGAAGATAAGCTGCAGAGGAACAACTGGACCAAATTATTATCTAGTCTTTGAATTAAAGAGTGTGCCTACAAAGTTGATTAAGTGGAAATTCCCCACCATTGCAGACAAAAATAGTCTGCCTTTCATGATGCCCAACAAAAAGCGATTGTACATTGAAAAGACGGACCCAAACTCTGATTCACATGAGATGTACTAGAACAATAACAATGGGAAACTTTGTGAAACTTCAACTGAAACACAAACCCAGAATTTCTTGTCAGCACATGCATATTTCAATCTTTCAATTCTACATCTTGTCACTGTCGATGCGAAATAGAGACTGGGTCCGTCTTGTTCGTCATATAAAAAATGCACACATTGTAGCGTTTTATAGCAACCAACAATAATGAATTTAACAATTTCGATTTCAAGAAAATACCTTTACTACTCATGCATAACCATTGCAGTGCTAGCACGCAGAATTGTTCAAAGATTTTATATCAAGCTTCTGCTGTTGGCAGCAATTTTGAAAGACATTGCACACTTAACGGATTTTTGCTTTGTGTGGTAAATATTTTGATGGAAACTCAAACCAAACCCAAGTTATTTGCAACTGAAAAGTACACTTATAATTTAGCTAGAATAAAAGAAAAATAATGCTGTTCTTAAAAAAAAAACAATTTGGAGGAATTACGCAAAAGGTAAGAAGACCACGTGAAGAAGACTTCAAAATCTATGATATATCCGTCAGACTAATGTCTTGTAAACATCTGATGATATAATTTGAGGTTAAATTATTTTTGAAATTTTCGAAATGAAGGAGTTTTAAGCACTTTACGAAATTTGAACATCGCTACTGCCGTCTTAATGTATAGCACTTGTTCTATGATAAATAGAAGGTGAAATGCTGATTTCTTATTGGACGAGAAGTTGTGAGTATATGTTTATTTATAGTGTGTATTCAAAATGACAAAAACAACCGAAGAAGCATTACCATTATCGTTAATAATTTGCAGTTATCACTTAAATGATTAAAGTTAAGAGGAAAAAAAACGTGCATAACACAACCACGGACCCACAAAAGCGGAATAGATACACCTTTTACGCTCACAACACACTATACTAGTATCGTAATTATAAAATAGAGTATACAGAAATTTAGAAAAGATGGACAAATAAAAGTCAGAAAATGAAAACTAAAAACTATGTTCATGCCGGGAAATCAAAGTGTTGCACAATATCTAAAGTGAAGCCGTCCTCAAGATATGAATTCCGACGGGAAGTTAACAATATTATAGAAATCAAATTAGATTTAGAATAATATTTTTGAAAGCATATTTTGGTGACGCCATCACTTCCTGAGTAATATTTACCTAGGACTTTAGGAGATGGCTTTAAGGGGGTTGGGATTTTAGGTACAGGTGTATCCATCAGATTTTGTGACCTCCTATTCAAAACTTCATCAATATTCTTACTATCCATATAATATCCATCAGCAGACGATGGCCTTGGTCCACGATTTCCGATACGACGGGATAAATCGGAAGGTGCTCCATGAACTTCATCTAACACGTGATCTATGTCTTGCTTTTGGTTTATGTAACCACTTTTGTCTTTTCTGGGAGACAGTTTCCCGCCATTCACAATGTCCGGGAGTGCCTGATTTTCGTTGGAATATGCAGACGATGGTGATTTTTTAACAGTGCCGTCATCGGTTACGACTGAATTTATAGAACGAAGGGATCCTTCATTACTTAAGTGTGCGAGACTTTCGTTTGATACTGCAAGACTATGAGGTCTATCTCTAGCAGAAAATCGTTTGCCCCTATCATCTAATACGTCTTCGCGAGAGTTATGGCGACTATTCGATCTACTTGACATATTTGACCTACGATCATCTATCATACCTTCTCTAGAACTAGGCCTTGAGTGTTTCCTGTCGTCCAGCATGTCTTCTCGGGAATTTTGTCTGCTTCGAACACGTCTGCCTTGATTCCTGTTCGGCGAACCTTCTCTATTAAAACCGAAATTTGAGCTATCACTGGTATGACCCGGACGTCTGTCGTCAATCATATCTTCTCTGGACCCTTCCCTTCTCATCCTCCTTGCTCTGTTTGGAGAATCGTCTCTAGAAAATGCATCGGAAGAACTTCCTGATTTTCGATTACCCTTTATTAGTACGCCATCTTGATGACGATACCGTACACCGTCCGGATCGCCTTTTTCGAAATAATTAGATTCAGATTTGTTGAGCGCAGATTTACGGAAATCTTTGTTCGGAAGTCTTGGATCTTTATCATCATCAAAAACATTATCGATTGAGTGTTCTCGACTAAGATTTCGTCTTTGACGTGACCTTAATCTATTTGGCGACGTATCGCGTGAATAAGATGGTGAATTCTCTCTTGTTGATCGCACGGAATCTGCACGAGAATCAGTTCGGTAATAACCTCCAGATTGACGCTGCTCACGGCCGGTACGCCCTCTATCCGGTGAAACATCTCTGCTTGTTTTCTGAGGCGGAGGCGGAGGATAATCGTGTGCAGAAAAGTACTCTTCAGAATGGTCGCTTGGAGCCTTTCCGTCTAACCGTCTTCCTTTCAATGGTTTAGCTGTTAGACGGTCACCATAATAAGAATCGGGTTCTGGAAGCTGTTGTTTCCACTCGTGAACTTTAGCAATACTGTCTCTCAATGATATTGTTTCTGGTGTAAGAGGTGCTTCAGATTCGGGCGCATCAAGCATTTCCCTACTTCGTAAGCGTCTTGGAGGTAATGGCGGAGGTTGTTCGTCATGAACTCCAACTACATCCAATATTTCTCTGCTGTTCGTGCGCCTGCGCCTACTTTGGTTATCATCCAAAATGCTTTCTCTGGATGAAGATCTATTGTAATCTGGTCTCGACTCGCGATCAGATATCTGTGAGTTTCTGCTTGATCGTTTTTCTGTTGCAGACATTGGTGTACTTGTGCGCGGATTTGGTCTACCTCGTTTTTCTTCTGCTTCATCACCATAAACAGATTGTCTCCAAGACTTTTCTCCAGGAACGTCATGCAAGGATTCATTTTTGTCTCTGTGAGAGAATCGTTTTGTATTTGGTTCAGATGAGGTATAACTAGGAGAGGCAGGAACGGAAGGATCGTTAAATTTATCACGAGTTTTATAAAAAGAATCATTCGGACCATTTGCCCCACCTGATTCTTCCTCCATAGCCATGGCTGCAAGAGCTGCTTTATCTCTGATTTCATCGCTTTCGCTGACCTGGCGTCGACCTCGTCTCCTTGGTGCTACGTCGTTTGTTTGTACCGCTGCATCGGCCATTTCTTTGAATTCTTTGTAAATATTTTCTCGTCTTATTTCTCTTGTTGTATTTCGTATTCTTTTTGTTCTAGCAATAGCTTTTCTATCTCTTATTTTATTTTTTTTCTGTTCTCTCCTAGGAGTTTCGCCTTCATGCATAGGAGAGGTACCTCGGGATATCTTAAATCGGCCTTTCGAGCCGTCTTTTTCAGCCTCGGGTGCGCTATCGTCAGTATCAGTTTCGTCCGAAGTTATTTTCTCCCTTCGTTTCGAGGGAGGAGGCTTTATATATTCATTTACAGAATCTCTTCTTCTATGAGATTCATCTGGTTCCCGCCTTGGGGAATAATCGACAGATTGTTGCCGGTCGTATCGACGCGATACTGACGGTGAGCTTTCGTATGTAGAATATGGTGATGCACTGGTGTAGTCTCCGTAACGTGATGATCTACTGCTTATCGGAGAACTCTCCCTACTTGGAGGCCCTCCGTAGCTGCGACCTGAACGGGAAGATCCTCTGTCGTAAGATGCTAAAGAACGATTGCTTCCACCGTAGTCTGATAAATAACCGGATCGATTAGCATAAGGGTCTGAACTCGTAGTTCTTGTTGAATATTTGTCCCAACCTGGGCCGTCTCTTGATTGGGATGTTCCTCTTACACTATGTAAAGGTGTATACATTTCTTTGTTCCCTCGGCTTTCGCCTCCGGCAAATTTTTGAATTCGGTCCCTCACACCAATGCTTCCGACGCTATATCCTGAGTATCTGTTAGTTGGAGTATAGGCTTTGTCTCTTTGACCTTGACTGTATGATTTATCTCTGGAACTTGGTGTATATGATTTAGGAGGGGATCCGTATGAGGGTGTTAGATAACTATTAGTTTTTCCTGTTCCGCCGTATTTTGAAGCATAACTCGTTCCTACGTTATCGTAAAGCTGAAAATTAAAAAAAAAAGTTTATGATTTTTTCCGCTATATCTTTGTACATGGAATATAAATCGAACTAATGGTGTGCTTTCAGATGTGTTTAAACGTTTTTGGTTTAATTTTAATAGCTTAAATTAGGCCGTTGGTTTTCTCTAATATATTTTGCATATTTTGTTGTACTGGACCATTTCCGATTTTCTCCAATCTCCAGGTTTAGCTAACCAAAGAAATATGTCGGTTGTTAACTTTTTTCTGAGTCTTTGACGGTTGCTGTATCATTAACGCATACCGAGCATCTCTTTTATTTATATTGCAAGGACCTTAATTTTTATCTTAATTTCATGCAATAAATTGGATTGAGAAAAAAAAAATATTAGGGCAATAAATTAAACAATATTAGGATAATATGAAAAAAAAGAGACGTGGGCCGTAAATATGCAGTTCCCCGGAACCGAGGAAGCAGTTTCGGTGGACCCATAACTGCTCTCATTGATCATTTTGACATTGATCTCTATTAAAGGTTTCGATTTTTTTCTAGTTTGAATTGTATTATATATACTGTTCTATATATTGTTGGACATCGTATGGATAACTCTTCCTTTGTTTTGTGTTGTTGTGTTGCTATCTAACTGACGTCTTCGTTTATTCATTTAATTATTTCATAATGATTATACTATATAGCTATATTTCAAAACTGAAAGATTACGTGTTTGTCTAAAAAAACTTATGAACATAATGAACGTCGGCTAGTATTTTTATTTATATGCAGAAACGTTTCAAATAATTGAGGTAATGAAGCAATAATTGTACATTATATCCATTACGTTCATCAATGTTATCTCATCCAATTACAAATGTTGGTTCTTTTATTGCCATAGCAACCACTTATACCAGTTATATATCAAGTTAATTGAACCAAAACTTAACAAAACTATCAAGGATGAATTGTTCCCGTGTACATTAAAATAAAAATGCAAGGAGGGTTAACAGAAAAAACACTTTTAAATGTTTAAAACAATGATTAATTCAATTTGTTATAATTGATTTCCCTTTAAGGTACCTCCCAATCTTATGTCTCAGACATCATCTGTTCAATCAGCTGTTATCTGTAAAGGGTTAATACCAGAGCATCACCCGAGATAGAACAGCCCTATGGATTCCACCCAATATAAATCAATCACCATCAACACTGATTATATTGGCATGTAAATATTAATCTTTCGAAGGGCAAATGATAAATGGATGATGTCCAAAATATGCAATGATATTCTTTCACTTCACATAGGAAAAGGCAACATGGAGCGAAACAACTATTTAAAGCAGGAATTTTCGAACTGGATGAAACTTGTAACGAATTAGACGAATATAAATTATATATAAAGTTATCATGGATCATAGTCATCATGAAAACCAAACAATATTGAAAAGTCCTCGAAAACGTAAGGCATAAATCCAGAACAAAGTCCCACGTAAAATTTCTTCAAGAAACAACCTTAAGAAAGATAACTGTTTAATGTGCCATAAACGACCTTGTAGTTACTGGACTAACAGAATAAAGAGAAAACAACTTGTAGTTACTAGACCAATAAAGAGAAAATAAAAGGTGGATTTCAGTATAACAAAACCACGAATCACGAAACGGTCATAAGTCTTCAAGAAATGAAAACCAAGGGGTTCGTTACTTACAAGATTTTATTAATACAGTTTATATGTCTGAAATTTCCGTTTCACATATTATGCAAATGCTCTTAAACTGTGATTGCAACACCCCAAGCAAAATTGACATGAGACATTTTTTACAGAAACCCGTAGCGCATTTTTTAAGTGGGATTTTAAAATTTACATAAACTATTTCCTATTCAAACTAAGATAATAAAACTGTTTGGTTTCCAGTTTAAGATATTGCATGTCTACATAAATTGAAAAGGTTATAAGTTTAAATGGACAATGATAAAAGAACTAGGGAATGTTTTCAGGTATATAACGAAGCAATAGTTAAACAGAGTATAGAATTGATATTATCATCCTTCTGTAACCTGAATTAATAGGACCAATTCCTGTGTTACAACATTATCCTGAAATAGTTGTTCATATTTTTGGTCTTTGGTAGATAACTCTCATTGGCAATCATATCAAACGGAAAGTATTTGATTAATGTACAAGGTAATATGAAAAAATACGGCGTTTTCATAAATACAGAAATAATATACGATTCTTCTGTGATGCAAAACCTTATAACAGAAGACTCTTACGATATATTTTGTTATGTAAAAAAGCCCATTTCCTATGTATGATGTATCGATTGGAGAATTCGACACAAATTGACTGCCAGTGTAGCATTACATTAAACCAACACATATGAATACTTGCCCTGTTTAAGTTGTGTGTCGTTAAAAGTAAAACAAAGAATGAATATTGAACCTGCGCAGTTTATTATTACTCTGCATGCATGTACATACGACTGCTATTTGAAATGTTAGTGATCGTTAATGATGTCATAGTGTGTCGGTGTGTTTGGCAGGTAAACAGTCTTTGCTCAACAGGTTGTTGTTTGCTAAACAGAACATATCGTCCTTGACAATTTTCCAAAATATTACAAATATCTAATTATGCTGCTTATAATTAACTTTTTGTTGATAGATTCTGTATACTGCAGGCCAAAATCATTCGTCAAAAGTAAAGTGACGTCATTGGGTCGATTTCAAAGAAGGAAAAGAACATTCTTTGTTGTCGTGATTGATTAGTTAGATGGTAATGTCGTTGCTCTTTTCTGTATGTAACAGAGGATGTTAAAGCTATAAACGTTTCAAGCATTTGAAGATGATACCACGAGTGCCACCTTGAAAATCGATTATGTCTCTTTTTCAGAAGTCAAAATAATCTCTGCTTAGCTTTCACAGACTTGTCCGAGGCAACGATTTAGTGTAACCCCACTCCCCCTTTTCCCTTTTATTCCCGGTAATTCACAAAAATGATGTATGAGAAGCTTTTTTTACAGGATTGAATGACTGGAAAATTGTAAAAACAAAAAAAGAGGAATAGCAAGAAATTTAATTTCTGGCGTTGAGTTCACGTCGTTTAGATTTTATGAATTCCAATTGAATTGCCACAGATTTTAAAACTAATAATATAATAAAAGAAGAGTGTGTCCACGGGACACAGATGATGCCCCACTTTCATATAACGTTATAAAGGGACATAACTCAAAAACGGTAAAAGTGACACTACCCAAATTCTTTGGTTTTCATGTTTGAATGATTTTACGCTAGTCATTTTTGGGGCCCTTTATAGCTTGCTGTTCGGTGTGAGCCAAGGCTCCGTGTTGAAGGCCGTACTTTGGCCTATAATAGTTTACTTTTACAAATTGTGACTTGGATGGAGAGTTGTCTCATTGGCACTCATACCACATCTTCTTATATCTATTGATATGTGTTTTGTGGTAATAAGCATTGTGTATAAGTTTCATAACATTTGGTTGAGGCAAACTTAAGTTAGAGAACGGAAAACAATTTTGGGGCGTACGGACGGACGTACAGACGGACAAGGGTAAAACTTAATTCCCCCCTTCGCTATGGCAGGGGCATAAAAATCCGTCTTTATGGTGCCATCTTACTAGCTATATTTTTGTGAAAGTCATTGAAATCAAAACGAGGATATATCCTACTATAGACGACTACAAATACGGAATGCGATGTTTATCGACCGCCTCATAATTGGTTATTTCGAAAGACAGTTTTATAAGAATAATATTATTTTAATTTTTCTCATTGTTGAAGGCCGTTCGGTACCCTATCTATAATTGGTTACATCAACTTCATTTGAACTTTGGTGGATATAGTTGTCTCATTGGCACATCTCCTTATTTTTATTTTACTGATTTTCATCCCAAGGTTTCCACAATTTGCTTTAAACATGACAGGAAGTTATAATAACTGAGGTTTGCATTCACTAAAGTCATTACGAGTTAATTCGTTTTGACTAGAACGTTTGGTTGTTCAATGGTCTGGGACATTTCTCGTTTTTACGTACATTTATGCCATGTTGTTCTTATTTTCACTCTTCATGTATTTTGTCCGGATTTAAACTGGGTGAAATGATTGACTATTGTAAGGCATAATTTAGAATAAAGAGTGTCTTTTTCCATATTTCTCCATTTTACACATGTCACTTTATATCAATATATTTCAATTTATTGAAAATAGAATCATGTCATTGTTTGTCAACTTTTGTCAACGCGATGGGTGCCACATTTGGAGCAGGATCTGCTTACCCTTAAAAAGCTCATGAGATTACCCCCGGTTTTTGGTGGGGTTCGTATTGCTCAGTCTTGAGTTTTCTATATTTTGTTTTGTATACTGTCTTTTTCTTTTTTACCATGGCGTTGTCAGTTTATTTTCTACTATGAGTTTGAATGTCCCTTTGGTATCTTTCGCCTCTCTTTTAAATCAAAAGTGATAGCATTTGGAGAATAAGAAAAACAACGTACAAAAGACCTCTCAAACTGTTATCTTCTCGTTAAAAACAATGACAATATCGATTATAAAAAGATCAAAATTAAATTCAGATTTATTTTTATAAATTTAGAATTAATGAATGAGCTATTAATAAGCAAATTTTTAGAAGTTCTTTTCGTACACAAATCTCATAATTACTCATTTACGTCCAAGCGGTTTTTTTCTTTAATTTTCTTCTACATGGCCCATTATCATGGTTTATATTCATAATAATTGATTACGAACATGTGGAGAATATAAGAGGTAGAAATTATTAGAAACAAATTACGGATGAAAATCCTATTAACTGCCTCCTTCGCATTTTTTTCTGTGGTTTCGTAAGGCACGTGCTTGGACAGGTGCGGCGCCGATTTGTAATACAGTTTTTAAGCCACCACTAAGATCATAAGGAAAGTAAATACATTGCTTTCGTTCTTTTTTGTTTAAAAAACTCTGTTTCGATGGCAACGGGTTTATTTTTTACGCATCTCAAGAAAAAGTTGTATGTATTCCCTATAAAACTGGTTGCCATGACAAAATACAAGTTTGTTTCAATAACGCTTGCTTTCACAATCAATTTATAAATTGCAAGAGTAATTTCCCAATTTGACAACATTATAATATATATATGTTTTTTACTTCAAAAATCGTATTCAATCTCAAATTTTATTTTGTTTTGTATGAATTGTTTTTTTTACATTTGTTCGTAAAAGAAGTCTATATACTTAAATATATTAGGATAATAAATCTGACATAACCAACATATTTCCGTAATGACCTTCAATAAGCTTCGCTTGACAGTGTGAAGGAAAAACCATGGGGTTTAAGAATAACTGACAAAAGAGACCGACAATCCTTAAATATATTAACTAAGAAATGTGATGAAAAGAGAAAAAACTTACTATCAATTAGAGTAGCATTAAAAGAAAAACACCGGTGATCGGTTGTTATTAGTTATAACTACAAACAGGAAAGCAATATTATCTATTGCAAAAGAAATAAAGAAATACATGTAATCAGCTTTAAGATCATCAAATGATGTCATCGGTTTCAAAGCATACTACAGATTATAGTAAAACACTGCATGCTATTCTTGAGTCAGCCTTCATGTGTGTTTAGAAGTTTAGGTGCTCGTTCAATGTAAAAGCATTACATACAGCAAAATGAGAATAAGGTACATTATAGATGCAATGGACTGGTTTGGATATAGTCATTTACTACTCGGAGAACACGAAGTTCACAATAGGAAACTTCAATTGTGTCATAAACCCTGGATTGAATAGTTATTTACTACTCGGAGAAGTTCACAATAGGACACTTCAATCGTGTCATAAACCCTATAATTCTGACTTGTCCCTCAGTGCCAATTTTAAGAAAAAGAGAAAACTATTAAAATCGGTCGTAAACAACCAAAGAGATTATGTTTATGATAGGATAACTGTAATCTGTTTCAATAAAACAAGAATAGGAAACCCTATAAACACTCAACATTTGTAATAGCAACAAGGAGAAAATATGTTTAGCAAATAGAGGTTATATCAGTAAAAGGTTGTTATAGAAAAGCATAAATGTATTTTCTTAAAGAATAGTACATGTACTTCTAAAAAGAGGCGGAAGATATAAAGGGGTATTCACAACTCATAAGACAAAGAATAACTGACAACGCCAGAGGTGAACTCAAAGTCTGAACGACTCTTTAAACCAAGAAGAAAAGAGTGAATATCTGTTTTCAAATTTAAAAAAAAGGAAAGAATCATCGATAGCCCCAAACACAGAAGCTAAAAGACATTCTCTTAGAAACATAGGTGGTCAACGTCCCACAATTTGAACCCCTTCAGCTGAACCATGAACCATATCTGTAATAACATTCTAACTTATTGTGTAACAAAACAGTATGCGATTGAGGTACTAATTATCACAATATATTAACATTTTGTTGTTTCTAGACAACCTTATGCTTGATTCTAACATACCATCTAGTTGACTGAATGAAGTTCCGGAGTGTCCTTGTTCAGTCATGACTATGACGATATGACCATGTTCTACTTGTTACAATGATGGTGTTGGCAAGTTTGTAATGTATCTATATACATTGTATATTGATTTGTAGCCATCGTGTAAATATTGAGAATGGAAATGGGGAATGTGTATTCAAATTAAAACCATACCATTATACGGCCGCAAATTTATAAAAATAAATGGGGAATGTGTCCATGGGACAAAGATGCCATGGACACAGATGATGCCCCCGCTTGTCTATCATATAAAGTTATCAAGGGACATAACTGAAAAGGTAATAGTGACGCTACCCAAATTTGTACTTGATCTGAGTTTTGTGGTAATAACAATTGTGTATAAGTTTCATAACATTTGGTTAAGGCAAACTTTCAGCAAGTTTTCCATTTGTAAAGGGGCATAACTCTAGAACAATAAGAGTGACACCCAAAGAAACAAACTTGATCTGTATTTTGTAGTAATCAGCATTGTGTATAAGTTTCATAACATTTGGTTGAGGCAAACTTAAGTTAGAGAACGAAAAAACAAAAAATTCAGCATTTTTTCCATTTGAAAAGGAGCATAACTCTAGAACGGTTAAAGTGACACCACCAAAATTCCAACTTGGTCTGTATTCTGTGGTAATAAGCATTGTGTATAAGTTTCTTAGCATTTGGTTGAGGCAAACTTAAGTTAGAGAACGGAAACAAAAAATTCAACAATTTTTCCATTTGTAAAGGGTCATAAGTCTAGAACAAGAAAAGTGACACCCCAAAATTCATACTTGATCTGTATTCTGTGGTAATAAGCATTGCGTATAAGTTTCAAAGCATTTGGTAGAGGCAAACTTAAGTTAGAGAACGGAAACGAAAAATTCAGCAATTTTTCCATTTGTAAAGGGGCACAACTCTAGAACGGTTAAAGTGACGCTACCAAAATTCAAACTTGATCTGTATTTTGTGGTATTAAGCATTGTGTATAAGTTTCATAACATTTGGTTGAGGCAATCTAAAGTTCGAGAACGGAAACCAACTTTGGGACATACGGACGGACGGACGGACGGACAAGTGTAAAACTTAATACATCCTCCGCTACGGCAGGGGCATGAAAATTATAATATAGCAAATTAGTGTTAAGCACTTTCAAAATTGCTGTTTTTGGTAAGTTTAACTTCGCAAAATCTAATTTTCCAGCGATATATGTTTGATTACGCTAGATTGGGAAGAACAATAAGTATATCGCTATGAAAATCCTGGAAAGTTGCCTTTTAGTGATGTTTGACTTTAAACAGAATGTCATATTACAAAGTAACACAAAACGAAAGTGACAGACATATGGCACCGACGAGATGCTCCCACTTCTTAGTATTTAACGGTTTATAAGAAAAGTGCACATCAAAATGCTGAAATAATGACTAATTAATTAATGAATTACTAATACCTACGACCACGTAATGTTGACTCATGTACAACAGCAAAAAACTTGAATATAATAACATAATTTGATACTTTGATAATAAAATTATTAAATAATATTTAAAGCTTATTATTATATAATGCGGAACTACTGGAAGTCCATTTTGTGACAAACGCTTAACAGAACAAGACTACACTCTACTAGTCAACTTGTATCTAAAATCAACTTAACAGTAAGATCTGTCCTCCTTGACATAAAATCAGAAAATGATGACACTAGATGGGTGAGATTGTATTCATTTGTCTTTCATTCGCTAAAACCAGATTACAAGTCCCCTAAATATCGTGTACCGTCTATATAAAAACTTGATATTTGGTGTTTTGTATAAATTTAAACTCGAAGTCTAGCGAATGTGAAAGTGATAAGTTAAACCAAAGACAGTGTGCTTGATTTATCCAATTATATTAAAAGGTTTGCAAAATATTGAAAATTTACACAAAATTTGGTTACAACTTAATTTATACAAAATCACAATTGGAACGATGATATATTTTCTATCCATTTACTGGACTCAAGTATTAAGGACCATGTAACTGTGCACAAAGAAATTATGGAAAACAGAAGTACGTTCAGTCTGACCGTGAGAATGAGAAGTAAAATTAACAACATTTATCAGTACTCAGATAATGCAATTACAATGGTATTTGTAAACGCGGTTTAACACAGTACTATTTCTATCTTTTTGGTATGAAAAGTTTACAAATTTCGCAAAAGCCACGGATACATATATCAGTTTTATTCTAATTATTTATTGGCAAAACTTTTTTCTCAAATGTTCTTCTATATTTAAAAGCTATGATTACCATAACGATAGGAATTATGATAGAAAATCTGCAAAATTGTCACTCCGACACAGACAATTTCCTGAAAACCGCATTTTTCTAAGCTACCCTTATCATCTCATGGTGTTTTCTTATATTTTATGATATCGTATTACTAGCAGCATTAATTCTTTTTATTTTGATACTTTTGAAATGTGTTTCATAGTAACCGACTTTTTATCTCTTGTATCGTCTTCAGAATAGTTTATTTGTAAACGATTAACAATGAATCATCAAGAACACATGTTTATAATTTCGTTATATCAACAAGCAATAAAAACGAAATTTCCAAAGATTAAAACAAATTGAGGGTAACATCTGTTCGGAATTTTTACTCAAGTAACAGTTTAATTTTTCACTTACCGATCCGTGACTGCGACTGCTACTTAGACTTCCGTATCCTCTATCGAATGAAGGCTGAAATGATAAAAAAAAACGCACCTCAGAGAAACTGCTCAAACAATTTTATATTAACATATTCCATCACAAAACAATAAATAATGAGATATATTCGTATAATTTAAGAAGACAGAATTGAGTTCTCTTGCCATGAAAGTTTGGCATAATTGCAATAGTAAATCACGTGACAAAGGTTATGATGATTATAATGAACGTGTAAACAATAGAAGTAGATATAGCACACTGGTGGCAGGTACGTGTGGTAGTTTTGATGATTTCTCTGTATTATATCAATCTCTTTTGATCAGAGGTAATCTCATTATAACTTTCAGTCGAACCACAGGTGAATGGTTCCCGTCTGTAATTATCAGCTGTGCCATTGGGGATCAGTGGAATTATAATGCAATCTTATCTCTAATTATGTGTATTTAGAAAACTAACTTGGAAAACAAATGATGTGCTATCCAACAAGACAAAATAAAACTATTGCCAAAAAAAAAAAAAAAAATCAAAATTAAAAAAAATATCAACAACATTATTTTTTTCTTTGATATTGTTAAAGAATGGTTCAGTAGTAACATGTGTTGATAACATCAATTTCAAACACTGAAAATGTTTACTTTTTTCAAATTAATACTATAAATTTACAATAACTGTCCGACTCCGAGTCCGAGAACGACTACAAATCATACAGGTAAGTTATTGGGATGATCTCAAAATATAATTTGTACACTAATTAATTTTACCGTGTTAAACTTTGCGTTGCAATGTGATAGGACAAAACCATTCATCAAATTGAATTTTTTTACTGAAGGGGTGAAGACAGCGCTTTTTCATTCGCTCTTTCTAACAGATTTTTTTCATAATATTAATACTTTCACAACAATCATGTGCTCGTGTTATCTTATCACTTATATCGGCGTATGTTCTATATACTATTGAGAGAAAAAAACATTTTCAAGTTAAATGATTCAACCAACATGTACATTCCTTATTTTCCTTAGTTAATATATCATATACACCCATCGTTTTTGAACGCGAGAGAGAGAGAGAGAGAGAGAGAGAGAGAGAGAGAGAGAGAGAGAGAGAGAGTATGATTCTACTTTTCCCCCGTTGAGAGAGAGAGGTTATGATTCCCTCCTTCCCCGTTGAAAGAAAGAGAGTATGATTCCCCCCTTCTCTCGTTCTTTTCCCCGACTTTTTTTTATTCTAACACTAGCGATCTAGATATAAACGAGGATTCTATTTCGGAGTAAGAAAATTATTTTTGAAAACGACGTCAATCCCCAGTTTTGGAGCTTATTGTATAGGCCGTAATTTCAAAATGAATCTAAAACAAATAGTATTTCAGAAACTATTTTCAACTAAGAGTAAGGATTTCCCCCCAAAAAAGTGACACAAAGATGTGGTGGTGTTTTATTAAATCTTTATTTTGTTGGAAGAAATACAGCTATACACAGTAGGGCTATTTTTTATTCAAGTACGGAATAAAGGGGGTGGAGATACATTGATATAAAGATATAAGAAGATGTGGTATGAGTGCCAATGAGACAACTCTCCATCCAAGTCAAAATTTATAAAAGTAAACCATTATAGGTCAAAGTACGGTCTTCAACACGGAGCCTTGGCTCACACCGAACAGCAAGCGATAAAGGGCCCCAAAAATTACAAGTGTTAAACCATTCAAACGGGAAAACCAACGGTCTAATCTATATAAAAAACGAAAAACGAGATACAACACCTCATCAACAAACGACAACAAATGAACATCAGATTCCTGACTTAGGACAGGTGCAAACAATTGCAGCGGGTTTAAATGACACCAAAACTTCACCCTTATCTGAAACAATAGTGTAACATCACAACATAGAAAGACACACTATAAAATATCAATTGAAATGGCTTAACTCAATCAAAAGACATATTAACACCAGTGAACATACACTGTACAAATAAATTTGATCTATGATACTATGAAAATACAAAATAAATAAACTAAGTGAAGAATAATTAAAGTATACCGCTGTGAAATGTTAAACAATTTAAGAAAAACAATATGCTTGAACAAAAATATCAGCCATGCATATTCATATATTTATGTATTTTGTGTATTTACAGGACATGGTTGATGATCAACGTCGTCTATTCATTGGCACGTTGACTGTTATTTTGCAGTGTGATTCGGTCGAAATCACATTCATCAAACAATTGATAATGATTCTACTAGTAATTCTGAAACCTCCTCCAGATCCCCCCTTTTTGCACTTTGCATTAAAAAGTTATGGGAAACAGTTTGAATTGTTGGGCAGGAAGAAACGTATTTGCAATATTTTCAAGGAGCAGGTATGGTTTTTTCGAGTCAACGGGAGAGACACCTGAAACTATGTTAGATATTTTGAGGGATGTAGGAGCGCAGTTCAGTCAATGGTGCGGCCGACCTCATGAACAGAGTCATGCTTTTTGTTCTTTGGCTCCGCTTTTATCCGTCGTACCATTTTCTCTCTATGTTATTTGATGTCAGCGTATCAACGGTGATGAACAAAACAACGGTTTCTCTGGCAATTTTTTAGTACACCCCTTTATTTCACTGGCCAACATCAAAAGAGTGGGGAAGTCGGGAGGGTGCCTGGCATAAATTACCATCCGCACTAGAACATCAACAGAAATATATCGTCCTCAGACAAATCCACAAAAACACGATTTTTCTGGCCACATACACTTTCACTGTATTCACACACAGGTTGTTATCAACAATCAATGTAACATAGTTTTATTAAAGTCAGGTTTTCTGGGACATCAGAACGATGCCAACAGTTTAGATTAATGCGTCAAATCGGGACAGACGAACACCTTCCTTTCCCATTGAATAAGTATATACTTGGTGACAAAATATATCCAAACCGCTATCCTGTTGTGACGCCTTACATCAGACAGCAGATAACCAGATAGCCGAAACATTTTAAGAGAAAGTGTAGAAAGTTAAACAGACTTATAAAAGAATACAGAGTTTCCGTTGAACATGTTATTGGCGAGTTGAAATGCTATAAAGTCATGGGAACTCTTTGGAGGCATCCTCGTCACAAACAAAAGCCATTATTGAAGTTTGTGAGAGTTTTGTAAATCGCCGAAAACAACATTTCAATTAGTATTATAATAATTAAAGTACAATGTTTACAATATTTTTATTGTTTGAGATCGCCCCCGTCATTTAAACTGTCTTACTATGACTCGTAGTCGGACTCGGGTCGGAGTCAGATACTTATTGTTAATCTCTAATAGAACTTCTCTTTTTTTACCAGATCAAAAATATCACTGAGATACCTAATGGTGGTATTCTGAATTAATTTCTAAATTCTACGGTAAGTCAAAGCTCCTCTTGGTATCCTATGACTGAAAATCGTTAAAATAGCTTATACATAATTCATGGTTCACTAAACAAACAAGAAAATAAACTTTGATGTACGAAGAACACATTCAAACTATTCCGCTTTAACAGGAATGGCATAAAACCCCAACGAAGCATTGTATGGAAGAAAAGGCACAATCTTGAATTATCGGCGACAGGTGTAATTATATAACCTCAAACAATGTATACTAAGCAACAATAAAAGTCCCATCGCTTACAAGTGTTCTATGATCATCGGAACATATATTTTGTGCTTGGATTTACGACCGGAACACTAAAACGAAGTATATTCGTCAAGACCTTGACCAATGTAAATAAATACATTGAAAGTAAATGTATTATAACAACAATACTGATTATCAAATTAAAAGTGAAATTAACCGAAACCCACTAAAAGTGTGTGGAAAAAGGGGGGTCGTGTACTTCGGAAGGGTAAGCTGTTCTTTCTTCCTTAGTGGCGTTTTTATAATGCAGCAAATTAGATACATTTGATTTGAGTCACATATCATATCAGACACATATCTTTGGTGAGGTAATATAGCGTATATATAGTCATGTCAAAGGCAAGTTAACACACTTAAAATTTCGTTTACGTTTTAATTTTTTCTTCTTCTTTTTCTTTGTAAGTTTGGAGGTAATTGTCAGAAATATTGGTATCAAAAGGTTATCAATTTTTAAATCTTGTTTGCTATGTCATATATGTTGTTTTTTTCTTTCTTTTTTTTTCTGTTAAAACGTATCGCGTTTTTACGAATTTTTTTTTGCAATGAAATAAAGTATGGCCGCTTTTAAAATGTTCTTGCACGAATAATCTTGATTTAGGAACTTTTTCTATTTTAAGAGATAATGACGTAGCTATATCCATAAACAAAATAAATGATATAACAGTTAACAGCACATTCTCATAAACATCAAATTTTATGTGCATAAAAGTTTTCAATTGACATTAATGTCTACATATATTTTCATAAAACCAAACAGAAAATCACGAAATAATCAAATGTATCTCATCTAAAAGCATGTAAATAAATGTTTCAACAAAGTCCTGCTGTTGATGATGAGTATTTTTATGTTTCAGCATTAGTTTAGCTCTGTTTCTGATTTACAAGGATTTTCAAACAAACATTAACGGTATCACTCTGTGTTCTACAGGAGTGCATCAGTGTTATTATAACTGGAGACTCAAGAAGTGGTAAAACCAACAATAGTAAGTAGACCATGTCTGCAATTAATATGAAAATTAAAAAGATCCCTTCCCCTAAAAAAAAAAAAAAAAAAAAAAAAAAAAAATACAAAAAAGGAGAACAACCCACCTAATATAAAACAATAAAAAAATATAAAGAAAATCCAAAAAAAAAACCAAATCAAACAATTCAAATCAAAAACATTTACACATGTGTTTTATTTGACTGCATCATTGTAGTTAGCATACACAATCTTTTTTATTCAGACAAACACAAAACTAATCAAAACAAAACAAATACACCCATCCCACCTACAAAACGAAAATAACTATTTAACAAAAATAAATAAATGAACTTAAGGATACAAAGAAAAAAAAGATTTTATTTTTACTTAATTTTTAGGGTGCCCTAGTTTGGTTGACCATATC